GAACAGGACCACCCACTGCAACTCGACGAGACACATTAGACCCTTAGCACCAGACACCGGCCCCAGCACGAGGCCGGGGGAGGCACCTCGATGTCTGGGTCGACGAAATCGGCGATGTTCTTGCCGTCCATGATCTCCGGAATCATGTCATCCGCCCACTCTGGCCGCTTGAGCTCCCACTGCCGCTGCAGCGGCAGCGAGTACACGCCCGCGCCGCCCCCAGCCTCCTCGAGGTCGCGCTGAAGCGTCCGCGCCGGCGCCGGCGCCTCGAAATCAGGCAAATCCGTGCTCGACCCCGCCGCGCCGCCGGCTGGCGCCGCCGCGCCAACCGCCGCGCCGGCCGCCGCGCCGGCCGCCTTGCCCGCCGCGCGTGCCGCGAGGACGGAGGCGGGGACGAAGGTCTGCCGCCGCGCTGGCGCTCCGTCGGCAGAGGGAGGCGGCTCGGCGACTCGGATCCGGCCGATGACGGACTCGACACGCGACGACTGGAGCTTGGCCTCGACGCGCTGGGCAAGGAGCAGGTCGCACGCGGTCTGCTTGACTTGCTGCACGCCTTGCTCGGTGAAGGTGGACATGAAGACCACGTGCGCGCCTGTTCACTGGCAGAGGTGTGAAGAGACGCTGTTCACAGCGGTGAAGGTGGACATGAAGACCACGTGCGCGCCTGTTCACTGGCAGAGGTGTGAAGAGACGCTGTTCACAGCGGTGAAGGTGGACATGAAGACCACGTGCGCGCCCGCGTCGCGCATCGTCTGCAGCAGCGCCTCCTCTGGCGGGGTGAGGTCGGAGGGGTCTCGCGCGTCCGTCTTGTTGACGGCGACGACGAGGGGCTTGCCTATCAATTCGCTATTGCCCAACTGTTAAATGAACTCTTCATTGACGCCCGTGCGACGAGGAGGGGCTTTCTTGCAAAGAGCGGCTTGATCTGGTCGAAGAGGGCGACCTGCTCGGCGATCGAGTGGCCGCACTCCTCGGAGATGTCGAGGACGTACAGGACGCAGCACTGCAGGTGCGCGAGAGCGGTAATCGACTGCATCTCGATCGTGTTTCGCTCCTCGAGCGGCTTGTCGAGCACGCCGGGCGTGTCGATGACCTGCCAGCGGAGGTACTTGTAGTCCAAGTGGCCGACGAAGAGCGACTTTGTGGTGAAGGCGTACGGCTGCACGTCGACGTTTGCGCGCGTGACCCGGTTCATGAAGGACGACTTGCCAACGTTGGGGTAGCCAGCGATGATGATGGTGCGGGTGGCCGGGTCGATAGCGGGCAGGCGCATCATGTGCTGCCGCACCTGCTCGAGGTACTCGAGCGCGCCCTTCTGCCGCTTCATCACCGTGCACATCCGGCCCAGGGCGGCGCGCTTGAGCGACTTGCAGCGGTAGAGCGAGTCGCCGTACTTAAGAAGCTTGACATAGTCGCGACCGACCTGGAGGGAGGGGAGGGAGAAAGGGGCGAGAGGGGGGGGGGGGCATGGGGCGGGAGCCGGCGGCGCAACGAGAGGAGACGCGCACGGGCGTGTGTGGCGGGCGATGCGTGGCGGCGAGGGCGGGATAGAGGGCGTGCAGCGCGCGCCCGGTCGATCAGCTGCTTGGCGAGGTTGAGCTGGCCGAGGGCAAGCTTGAAGTGGTCCCGGTCGTACAGCACGTTGACGAGGTCCGCGTAGAACGGGTGGATGTCGTCCAGGCGCGGGAAGTCGGTCAGGATCTGAGTGAGCTTGTCGTGGTAGTTCATGTGCGTGTACTTGACCTGCGGGCGTGGCGGCGCGGTGGCGCCGTCACGACGCCTGCCTCTCAAGCCGCGGCCGGACACGGCGGCCGGGCCGGCGCGCGCGCCTTGCGCATGTAAAACTGCCGGATGCGGACAATGTTGTAGCCGGGGTGGACCACGGTCGGTGTCTTGCGCTGCGTCTTGGACAGGATCACATCGATGAAGTCCTTGGCCGTCGGCACCGTCTCGATCTTCTTAAAGTTGTAGACGACCATGGCCGCTGTAAAGAGAGAGTAGAGGGACGCCGGAGGCCGTAGCGGGCAGCGGGCGGAGAGCGGAGAGCGGTCCGAGTAGCGGCGAGCGCTGAGAAGGGCCTACGAGGGCACTCCGGAAAGAATTCTTAAGATACAAGCCTCTCTCACAGCACACTGGGAGCGACGCGACAGAGGAAGAAGCGACAAGGGAGACCACGACGAGAAGGGGGCGACCGCGAGGTGGCACGAAGGTTGAAGCGAGAATCGGCGAGAGACTGCGAAGAGAGATAGGAAGAGGCGGACGCCCAAGGGTGGGCGACGGCTAGCGCACCACACACCTCTCCTTAAAATCCCTGTGTGGTGGCGGCGTGCCGTCCTCCCATCCCTCCCTTGGGTTGTCCGTTTTCTTTCTTTCTTTCTTTAGCACACTGGCACGACAAGGGCGCAGACTGGCGCGGACTGGCACACACACAGGCTCCGGAAAGAATTCGAACGCGCGACCTGCACGTCGCCGTCGCACCGGCATCGTGCGGGCTTGAGGCAACAGGGTGACGTTCAACGGCCGCATGGGAGGGGGTCGCCACGTGCGGAGCTGCGGCTCAACGGCGGCCTAAGGTACGGCCTCTCCCCCTCGGCCCCCTCGAGAGAGGAGCAGAGGACTTCCACCTGACCGCGCCAGCGGGTGAAGTGGGGTGCGTCGCTGCCACAGCGACGTGGGCGTTAGCTCTCGGGGAAGATGGGCTTCGGGCCTGAGTGTGTGGTGCTAGTGTGGGAGGCTGGGGCAGGGACGGGCCTCTGCCTCTTCCTATCTCTCTTCGCAGTCTCTCGCCGCTTCTCGCTGCAACCTTCATGCCACCTCGCGGTCGTCCCACTCTCGTCGTTCTCTCCCTTGTCACTTCCTCCTCTGTCGCGTCGTTCTCTTCTGCCTCGTCCTGCGACGCCGCCGCCTGCCGGTCCCTTGTTCTCGCGGCTTCTTTCGCCTTTCGGCCGAATCGCTGAAAGAAAGAAAGAAAGAAAACAGACACCGGGCCGTCGACACTCTCAGAACCGGTAGAGCTGGGAGAGGCTGGCGAAGACGAAAGGCGGCAGCGGAGGAAGCGACACCAACAACGAGGGAAACGACCACACCGGCCGTCGTATGACGCTCGGCAAGCGAGCAAGAGAGCGAATCGGGGAGAACCGGAGCCCCGGGAGGACCGAAGGTGGAGCCCCGGGACCGAGGACTAAGCAAGTGTCTGTGTTTGGGCGTGGTGTCCAGTGTGTAATGTCCACTAGCTCCGAGTAGAGGGGGCGTCCTGCAGTTAAGGGGAAACCCGGTACGCGGGTCCAACCCTCGGAGAACTGTGTTTACTTTAAGGCCCTTGCCCTGCGAACGCGCACCCCCGGGGCTAGGGCTCTCTTGCCCGCAACCCGATCCCAATCATCCGGCCCGCTGGGTGCGCTTCTGAGCTCCCCGGCCCTGGATGTGCGGCTACTGACTGCACTCCAAGTGCTCCAAGTGCTCCAAGACAACCCAAGGGAGGGATGGGAGGACGGCACGCCGCCACCACACAGGGATTTTAAGGAGAGGGGTGAGGTGCACTAGCCGTCGCCCACCCTTGGGAGTCCGCCTCTTCCTATCTCTCTTCGCAGTCTCTCGCCGATTCTCGCTGCAACCTTCATGCCACCTCGCGGCCGTCCCACTCTCGTCGTTCTCTCCCTTGTCACTTCCTCCTCTGTCGCGTCATTCTCTTCTGCCTCGTCCTGCGCCGCCGCCGCCTGCCGGTCCCTTGTTCTCGCGGCTTCTTTCGCCTTTCGGCGCAGCTCCGCCCTCCTTGCTGCATATCCTGGCCCCTCGAGTCTATCGAGCTCCCCTCGCGCAAGGACCACATTTCTGACTCCCACTCCGATCATTTGCCTGCAGGTCATGTTGTTGCTCAGGTCCACTCTCTCTTCGAACACTCGTGCCTCTACGGATGATGCCGGCGCTGGGGTCCCCTTCGGATGCATCGTGACATCTGACAACTGAATTTCCACTGGTTCGTCCTCCTCGGAGTCATCTTCCCCGTCCTCCTTCCGTTCGGCTCTTCGCTCGGTACGTTCGGTGTGGCTCACCCTCCATGCCGTGAACAGGCGCTGAGACCGCCCTGACGCCCGATGTTTTTTTCTCGCGATGTCTCCCTTGTCGCGCCGCCGCTCGCGCCGCCTCGCCTCCGCCGCCACCACCGCCGCTCCGTCGCCAAGCCCGCCGCCGCCCACCCTCCTCCTCGACCTCCCCACGGACCTCCTCCTGCGCGCCCTCTCTCACTGCCACAGCCCCCTCGACATCGCTCGCGTCGCGGCCGTCTCGCTACTCTTTCACGCCTCGCTCGCGGCAGAGGGCATCCGCTTGTGGGCGCAAGAGCGCGGCTTCGAGCTGATGGCGCAGCCAGAGGGCGAGAGCTGCGCCGTGCGGTGGCTGTGCTATTCGGCCTTGCTATGCGAGTCCAACCCGCCGGCGAGGGCGGCGGCAGGCTCTAATCACAGCGTCTTCATCGACGGCGAGGGGCGGCTCTCGTCGTGCGGTTCAGGGCACCCCTACGCTCCAGGGCTGCTCGGCCACGGCGAGGGCGTGACGCGGCTCGACACGCCGACCCGCCTCCCGTCGACGCTGGGCGGCGAGCGCGCCATGAGTGTGTCGGCTGGAGCCGCACATAGCCTCGCCCTCACCACCGGCGGAGAGGTCTGGAGCTGGGGCAGCGGCAGCTATGGCCGGTTGGGCCACGGCGGCGGGCAGTCCCAATGGCAGCCAAAGAAGATCGAGGCCTTGGCGGGTGGCGTCGTCGCTGTCTCGGCTGGACGCGACCACAGCCTCGCCCTCACCGCCGACGGGGCCGTCTGGAGCTGGGGCGTTGGAGGCTGGGGCAAGTTGGGCCACGGCGACGAGCAGCACCAGCTGCTGCCGAAGAAGGTCGAGGCCTTTGCTGGGCAGCGCGTTGTTGCTGTGTCGGCTGGCGAGAGCCACAGCCTCGCCCTCACCGCCGACGGCGCTGTCTGGAGCTGGGGCGCAAGCTACAACGGCCAGTTGGGCCACGGCGACGAGCAGCGCCAGCTGCTGCCGAAGAAGGTCGAGGCCTTTGCTGGGCAGCGCGTTGTTGCTGTGTCGGCTGGCGAGAGCCACAGCCTCGCCCTCACCGCCGACGGCGCTGTCTGGAGCTGGGGCTTTGGAGCCGGTGGCCGGCTGGGCCACGGCGACCTGCAGAACCAGCTGCTGCCAAAGAAGGTCGAGGCCTTTGCTGGGCGGCGCGTCGTCGCTGTGTCGGCAGGAGAGTACCACAGCCTCGCCCTCACCGCCGATGGCGCCGTCTGGAGCTGCGGCGCAGGCTACAGCGGCCAGTTGGGCCACGGCGACCAGCAGCGCCAGCTGCTGCCAAAGAAGATCGAGGCCTTTGCTGGCCGGCGCGTCGTCGCTGTCTCGGCGGGACGCGAACACAGCCTCGCCCTCACCGCCGACGGCGCCGTCTTCACGTGGGGCAGGGGCGAATGCGGCTGCCTAGGCCACGGAGAGGACCCGCCGAACCACCTGAGACTGCCCAAGAAGATCGAGGCGTGGGCGCCGGGGCGGTGAGTAGGCAAGGCGTGAGTGCGAGGCGGCGAGGAGCCGAGGAGGAGCACTAGCCGTGGGCTTCACCGCTGGCGGCACGCTACGAGCTTTTGAGAGCTTGTGAGCCGCGAGCTTGCGAGCTGCTTGCGCGCGGCGTTGCTCCGCTCGTGCCGTTCCCGTTGCCGGTTGAAGACAGAAGAGGGACTCGCCTTTAGATTTTTCTTCTTTTGATTGATTCGCCCACGGTGGAGAGCTTGTGCCGCCGTCGCTCTCGGTGGTGAACGTGCCCTCCGCAGGGGGGGCGGCTCCCCGGACGCCGGAGGCCCTCGGTTTGCGACATTGGGGTGGGGGATGCTCTCATTTTTTCAAGCGGCCTAGCCTATTCTTCACGTAGTCCCCCCGCGTGCTTTCTTTTTCTCCGCGATGTCCACTCCGCCGCGCCGCCGTGCGCCTGTCTTTGTTTGAAGTCAAAAGTCGAATCAGAGCGGTGTCGGCGTTGTCCTGAGTTTTCTCCCACGGACCGCCCGTCCGGCACCGCTCCGGGACGCACGCCGGCGAAACACCATCAAGCTGCTGTACGGCCCCGGCATCGCCTCCCCTGGCTTAGCTAGACTGAGAGATATTGTGCACAAGGTTGGTCTCTACAATATATACACTGACACTTTACCACTCAGAGCTCGTCCCGGTCCGCCACAGCGATCCTCGGCCTCCGGAGGGCCCCCGGCCGCGGCGCGGTGCGGCGGCGTCACAAATCCGACCACAGAGCACCGGGACGCGGTCGGGCGATCTGAGGCCCAACTAGGCGTATGGATTGCCCACCCAGGGCTATCACCTGGACCCATCAACAGGCGCCTGCGGCGCCGTGGACAGGAGGTGTTGTTCACACCTGTCCAACCATTCATGCTGCACATTACTCGAGTAGACGCCCGTGAAGCGCCCGCCAGAGGCGCCCATGGACTGCCACGTCTCCGCCGCGAGCGACGTCTGCTACGAGAAGGGCTGGCCGATCCCGTTCATCTGGCAGCGCGACAGCGACTGCTGCGCGTGCCAGGGCAGAGGACGGTGCGCCAACGGCTTTCAGATGGCCGCCGGCGCCACGTCCGGCGACTGCGCCAGCTTCGCCGCCGGTGGCGAATGCCAGTCGCAAAGCACGTGCTGCGTGCCCGATCCTTCGGGTCCGAGCCGGTCGTTTCGCCGCTCGGCCGATCCGGTGGCGAGCTTCGCAGCCGCCGAGGCGTACTGCGGCGACAGCGGCCTCGCGAGAATAGACTCGGCGGCGGAGAACGCCCTCGCTGCCGAGGCGTGTGGCGATGCGGTCTGCTGGCTCTCCTTCCGAGACCCCAGCTTGGGCGGCCACTGGCGTTGGCCCGGCGACGAACTGCCTCTCTACACAAATTGGAACGGCGAATACAAGCAGCCGGGCCTTGACGACAATGGCGGCGAGCGAGAGCCATACTCGACGCTCAACACGCGCGGCACGCTGTGGACGCGCGGCAGCCGGACCGACCTGTCGGTTTGCTGCTGCGTGGCCGCGGCGCGCACGCCGCAGACGCGTCCGTGACACGTCCGTGACACGTCCCTGCGCAGGTGCTCGACGGCACGTGGTTCGACGCTGCGGATCTAGGGACGGCGCACGCGCTTTGCAACATGCCGCTCGAGGACGCGCCGCCCCGCCCTCCGCCGCCTCCGCCGCCGCCTCCGCCGCCGCCCTCGGCGCCTCTTCCGCCCGGCAGCTGCCCAAGGGGCTGGGAGCGGGGCGGGAGCAAGTGCGCGCGGCGCACCACGGCTGATGCGCTGCCCAGGCCGCCCCTTCCCAGAAGGCCCGCCGCGGCTGTAGGTGCTACCGTCTCATCGGCCGGGCCTCGCAGGCGGGGTGCCAGGACATGTGCGCCGCCGCGCTGCCCGGCGCAGGGCTGGTGCGCTGCCCTCGGAGCCCTCCGAGCCAGCCGCCAGCAGCCAACCAGCAGCCAACCTCAGCCTTCCTGCCTTCCTGCCCCCTCCTCCCCTCCCTCGCGCCTCTCGACCCGCGGCGGCGTGGCGCGCCAGGTCTGCATCGAGTCGCGCGCCGAGCAGGACTTCCTCCGAGCAACCTTTGGCCGAGTCGGGGAGGGCTGCTGTCGCTGGCGCCGCCGCCGCAGGCGACGAGCCCTCACGCCGCAGCGGTGAGCTCTCCCCGCCCGCCGCCGCCGCGCAGGCCGGACCCGTTCATCGGAGACTTTGGCAGCGACCAGTCCTGCTGCACCTGGTCCGGCCTCTTCCAGGACCCCTCGGCCGACAGCGGCTTCCGGGCCCCCAATGCCGCGGCCGCCCCACAAGTCCCAGCCCAGTCGCCCCCACATTGAGTTCGCGCACCCGACGCACTGTAGGGCGACGCGGCGGCGGGATGGGACTTGTGGCGCGCGGGCGGCTGCGACTCGGGCTTCCGTGCTTGGTCGCGGGGGGAGCCGAACCAGTGGGGTGGCCTGGAGGAGGATTGCGCCCTCCTGTTTGGGCCCGGGGAGGGGTGGGTCGACATCGGCTGCGGCGGGGAGTACCGCTGCCTCTGCGAGGTCCCCCCCTCCCCCCTCTCTCCCCTCCTTCCCCCGGCTCGATCCACGCTCCCGACTCCCGCCCCTCCCTCCCCCGCTCCAGCCCCCTGCGCGATCCAATTCCCGAGATCCAATCTCCGGACGCCCCCCCCCCCCGCCCCCCCGCCCCGCCCCGCCAGGTCGCCCTCGCCCGTGGCCCGCTCGACGCGGCGGCGCCGCTGCTGAGAGCAGGCCACGCCTCCGCCTCGCTCGGGGTCGGTGTCGCGGTCGGCTTTGCGCTGCTCGCCGCCGCGGTGCGCCTTTTCCCCCGGTCTCTTCTCTTCTCTTCTCTCCCCGCCCCCTACCCCTCCCCCCTCCCCCCCTGGCCCCCCCCACTCCCCTCCTGCCAGGCGTGCCTCCTCGGCCGCGCGAGGCGCAAGCGGGCGGGCGGGCAAGGCGGCGCCGCCCGCGTCATCGAGCTCCCTACGGTCGTCGCGTCGCCCCTCGTCTCGCCCCTCGTGACGAGCGCCGCCACGCGCGCCGCCGATGGCCTCTCCCGCTGCGCGCAGTGCGGCCACGCCTCCCCGTCCGCAAACAACTTTTGCCCGCTCTGCGGCGCGAGCACGAATCTCGGCCTCGTTCCGGGCGCCGTCGTGGTGCAGGCCGCGCCCGAAGGGGGCAAGCAAGCGTGAGGGCGCGGGGTGGAGCAACTCGTGTAACCGACGTCGCACGTTTCCTGCGTGGGGCGGCCCCGACGCGCTTAAATCCCAGCACGCGCCGCCTAGAGTACTCTTCCCGTCGTCCCTCTCCGCCGCCGATGGCGTCGGCAAGAGCCTGCAGCTTCGCGTCTGCCCGAGTGTCGCCAGCCTCGGCGCACGCGTCCTGCGCGTCGAAGAAGAGCGCAAGCAGCGAGGCGTCGTCCATTCGCGCGGCTGCTCGTTGGGCGAATTCTTTTTCCGCTGAAGAAAAACAGCAAAAAGAGGAGGCGGTCGCTACCCCGTCGGCAGCCTACCGCTTACCCCCGGCCGGATCTGCCACTCCGCAAGATCGCGCTATGCTAATGCGATCAACGGCCAATCAATCCGAGTACCGACAGAGAGATTTTTAGCATAGGAGCTGCCAACAAGTTCAGAGACCCGAGACCGCTGAGATCTAAGTATGGATGGGGCTTATGGCTGGGGTGGCAGCCGAGGTAGGTACGCCCTTCTCACAGCCCCGGCGCCCATGCCTCGATCTTCTTGGGTAGCAGCTGGTTCGACAGGTCCTCTCCGTGGCCAAGGCAGCCGTATTCGCCCTCGCCCCAGGCAAAGACGGGGCCGCTGGCGGTGAAGGCGAGGCTATGGCAGCTTCCAGCCGACACAGCGACGACGCGCTGGCCCGCCAAGGTCTCGATCTTCTTCGGCAGCAGCTGCGTCTCCTCGTCGCCGTGGCCAAGCCGGCCTTCATTTCCACGGCCCCAGCTCCAGATGCTGCCGTCGACGGTGATGGCGAGACTGTGAGCCCCTCCAACCGACACGGCGACGGCGTTCTGGCCAGCAAAGGCCTCGACCTTCTTGGGCAGCAGTTGCTCCTGCTGGTCGCCGTGGCCCAGCCGGCCACCGGCTCCATCGCCCCAGCTCCAGACGGCGCCGTCGGCGGTGAGGGTGATGCTGTGATCTTCCGCCGAGACAGCGATGACGCGCTGGCCAGCCAAGGCCTCGACCTTCTTGGGCAGGAGCTGGTCCTGCGTGTCGCCGTGGCCAAGCCGGCCGTTCCCTCCCCAACCCCAGCTCCAGACGCTGCCGTCGGCGGTGAGGGCGAGGCTGTGGCACTCTCCGGCCGACACAGCGATGACGCGCCACCCCGCCAAGGCCTCGACCTTCTTCGGCAGCAGCTCGCGCTGCTGGTCGCCGTGGCCCAACCGGCCAGAGTATCCCCAGCCCCAGCTCCAGACGGCGCCATCGGCGGTGATCGTGAGGCTGTGAGCCCTTCCAGCCGACACAGCGACGACACGCTGGCCAGCAAAGGCCTCGACCTTCGTCGGCTGCCACTGCTCCTGCTCGTCGCCGTGGCCCAGCTGGCCAAAGCATCCCTCACCCCAGCTCCAAACGGCGCTGCCGGCGGTGAGGGCGAGGCTGTGGACACCTCCAACCGACACGCTCACAGCGCGCTCGTCACCCAGCGTCGACGGGAGGCGGGTCGGCGAGTTGAGCCGCGTCACGCCCTCGGCGTGACCGAGGAGGGCTGGCTCGTCATCCGCCGACTCGCACGACGAGAGCCGCCCCTCGCCATCAATGAAGAGGCTGTGCCAATAGCCTGCCGCCGCCCTCGCCGGCGCGTTGGCCTCGCGTAGCAACGCCGAATAGCACAGCCACCGCACGGCGCAGCCCTCGTCTTCGGGCTGCGCTGGCAGCTCGAAGCCGCGCTCTTGCGCCCACAAGCGGATGCCCTGCTCCGCGAGCGAGGCGTGAAAGACGAGCGAGACGGCCCCGACGCGAGCAATGTCGACGGGGCTTTCGAAGCGGGAGAGGACGCGCTCGAGGAGCTCCCTGGGGAGGTCGAGCAGCCGGGCGGGCGGCGGCGCGTCTGGCGAGGGCGCGGCGGCCGAGGCGGTGGCGAGGCGGCGCGAGGGGCGGCGACAAAATGGACATCGCGAAGAAAAGAATTCCTGCGCACCCTGCCCGCGTTTTTTGCCTGCTCTAGCCTCGCATGTCACTTCCTGTCGTCTGTTGTTTGTTGTGCCCTTGTTTGTTCCTTCGGCACCTTGGCTGGGGGAGGCGACAGGGAGGGGGCGCGGCCTTGAGTTATGTGTACGCCAACTCAGGGTGTGTGGCAGCCCAGCTGGCTGTGTGTCTTGTGAGCTTGTTTGTGTCTGTGTGTCGCTCGTGCGTGTCGTCATCATCTGTCCCGCGTCCACCCATACCGCGCTGGTGTCCAGTCCGAGCCTGACTGTTGTTCATCTTTCTACCTACCTACCTACCTTGCTTGTTGTTTGTTTGTTGCTTGGAAGCGCAGGGAGTTCATTTTATTAAAAAGCGCAGGGAGGAGATGGCGGAGGAGGCAGCCACCGTGGAGATGGTGGTGCACGTGAGCAATGTCTCCAGAGCCAGGCCGCCGCCGCCGCCGCCATCACCATGTGCGCCGAGCTTTGTTGAGCTCCAGCTCGCGCTGCGATCCTGCGCGACGTAATTCTTTCTTTTCGGGCTAGGCGGGCTGGCGATTGCGGGCGCCGTCCTCGCACTTCCCAAACGCGATGGCTCCCATCAAGTGGAACGCACCTACGATTGCTCTGACCGTGAACGCCATCCTCGTCGGATTGGCTGGCTTGGCTTCGCTGTCGGGCGATGACTCCGCGTTGCCGCCCGCATTCAAAACGGACAACGCGCATGTCGTGCGCGCCCTCGGGCATGAACTGTTCATCATGATGTGCTTGATGACCTGCGGCATCGTGAACAACATGGCGCAGAAGATGTGCCCGTATTTCGGTGCGGGGCTCCTCGTGTCGGTCTGGGTGCACATCAAGGGCGATGATGTGTCGGGCGGAGTGATGAACTTGTGCATTGCGATGATGCATTTATACTTTGGGCTCGTCTGGAAGGAGAAGGAAGGGGGGAGCAAGAAGGTGTAAACCGTGTTGTGTTGATCCCAACAGTCGGGCTAATATACACCGCTAGCGCCAACGCGACGCTTTGCTCGCGTGAGAGTGTGTGCTCACATGTGTACAGGAGGGTACAGCTCACACCCAAGCACTTACCACACACCACTCGATACGGCTTCTCTCCCCGACTCACGTCCAACTCACACTCACATCCAACTGTGACGCATGCATGCATGCATGGTGGTGCGGCCGCCGTGCGTATGAGGGGTGTGTCGACACGGAGTGGGTACACCGCGTACGGCACAAGAGAACGCTCGTTTCAGCCGCAAGCGTTTCAGCCACAAGCCTACCGTTAGTACCCGGTACAGCGACCTCTGGTATACCCAGGGTGCGTAAATAAATAAATAAATGAATGCGATTTAGGACACGCTTGCGCTGCTGCCACGTTGTATGTGGACGCTGGACACTGCCACAGACTGATCTCGAAAGCCGTAGGTTCGACTAGTGTCGGCGTCGGACTCCACAAACACCGCAAGTGTGTCGTTTCCAAGGTGGCTCATGTCATGCTGCCGCCGCCAAGGCTGCCACCTCAGCCTCAAGCCCTACACCTCGGCTGCTCAGCCGAGGTAGGTACGCCCTTCTCACGGCCCCGGCGACCACGCCTCAATCTTCTTGGGCAGCGGCTGGTTCGACAGGTCCTCTCCGTGGCCCAAGCAGCCATCAACGCCCTCGCCCCAGGTAAAGACGGCGCCGTCGGCGGCGCAAGCGAGGCTGTGGTCGGATCCAGCCGACACAGCGACGACGCGCTGGCCAGCCAAGGCCTCGATCTTCTTGGGCAGCAGCTGGAGCTGCTGGTCGCCGTGGCCAAGCCGGCCGTTCCCTCCCCAGCTAACCTTGCCTCCAGCGCCCCAGCTCCAGACGGAGCCGTCGGCGGTGATGGCGAGGCTGTGCTTGCCTCCAGCCGACACAGCGACGACGCGCCGGCCAGTAAAGGCCTCGACCTTTTTGGGCAGCAGCTGGCGCTGCTGGTCGCCGTGGCCCAGTTTTTCTCCCTGGCCCCAGCTCCAGAGGGCGCCGTCGGCGGTGAGGGCGAGGCTGTGGTAATCTCCAGCCGAAACAGCGACGATGCGCTGGCCAGCAAAGGCCTCGATCTTCTTCGGCAGGATCTGGTGCTGCTGGTAGCCGTGGCCCAAGCTGCCAAAGTAGCCCTCACCCCAGCTCCAGACGGAGCCGTCGGCGGTGATGGCGAGGTTGTGGTCGCGTCCAGCCGACACAGCGACGACGCGCTGGCCAGCAAAGGCCTCGACCTTCTTCGGGAGCAGTTGCGCATGATGATTGCCGTGGCCCAAGCAGCCATGGCCTCCATTGCCCCAGTTCCAGACGGCGCCATCGGCGGTGAGGGCGGTGCTGTGAAAGCCTCCAGCAGACACAGCAATGACGCGCCGCCCCGCCAAGGTCTCGATCTTCGTCGGCTGCCACTGGTCCTGCCAGTCGCCGTGGCCCAAGCGGCCAAGGTTGCCCTCACCCCAGCTCCAAACAGCGCCGTCGGCGGTGAGGGCGAGGCTGTGGTAGACTCCAGCCGACACGCTCACGGCGCGCTCGTCACCCAGCGTTGACGGAAGGCGGGTCGGCGTGTTGAGCTGCGTCACGCCCTCGCCGTGACCGAGAAGGCCTGGAAGCTCCTCGTCCTCGTCCTCGTCGTCCTCCTCCTCGCCCTCCGTTGCCGCTGAACCGCACGACGAGAGCCGCCCCTCGCCGTCGATGAAGACGCTGTGCCGAGCGCCTGCCGCCGCCCTCGCCGGCGGGTTGGACTCGTGCAGCAACGCCGAATAGCACAGCCACCGCACGGCGCAGCCCTCGCCCGCTGGCGGCGGCGGCAGCTCGAAGCCGCGCTCTTGCGCCCACAAGCGGATGCCCTGCTCCGCGAGCGAGTGAAAGAGAAGCGAGACGGCCGCGACGCGAGCGATGTCGACGGGGCTGTCGAAGCGGGAGAGGACGCGCTCGAGGAGCTCCCTGGGGAGGTCGAGGAGCCGGGCGGGCGGCGGCGTGTCTGGCGAGGGAGCGGCGGTGGCGGCGGGGGCGAGGCGGCGCGAGGGGCGCGAGCGGCGCGGCGGGGTGGACATCGCGAAGAAAAGAAATTGCGGCGATGAACCTTGACTCTCTCAGTTAAAATCCCTGTGTGGTGGCGGCGTGCCGTCCTCCCATCCCTCCCTTGGGTTGTCTGTTTTCTTTCTTTCTTTCTTTCTGACTCTCTCACACAGGCCAACACGTGCCGGATTACTGTGCCTTCCCCGGGCACAGCCTTTCGGCTCGTGAAGGGTCGGTGCGTGTCGTGATCCCCTGGAACACCCGTACTCTCCCGCGCCATCTCCGTCGCCCTGTTCGGCTGCGGCCTTACCACCAAGATCGGGAGGCGGCCAGGCTCTACAATATCTTGACTGAGCACGACCGATGAATCGGCAGCACGGAGACAAGAAGGCTCGCTGTGTGAGTCGGCCACGCAGAGGGTCGGAACCTGCGATGTGTCAGTGCTGGGCACGTTGGCATCGCTGGTGCGCGACTGATGTTCGAGCCGCACTACCCTGGTACCTCCAGCTGCTACCTCCAGCTGCTTCACTTTTCTCGGGAAGTAGTTGGAACTCGTGGGATCAGGCGTGTAGGCCCATCCAATTTGCACGCGCTCGATGGACGCTCCGAGCACGATCTCAAAGCTCTTGACAACGCGCTCGTGGCCGACAGGGCCCAGCTGGTAGGTGCCCCACGCCTTGCACGAGACGCTTGGTTCTGGGCCGCAGGTGAAAGAGGACTGGGCCTCGCCCCCGCGCCAGATCGCGAAGGCTTGCTGGTAGACGAATGGAGTCATCCCGAAGTACTCGACCAACCGCATGAACCTCGCTTGCTTATGCGTTGCAAGAGTCTCGCCTGCAGCGTTGGTATTGCAAGGAAGATCGAGAGCCACATCCGGTGCTGCGATGGCCTTGTCCCGAAGGTAGTTGATGAGCGGCAGCATGAGCTCGATCGGCTGGTCAATGAAGAAGGCGCCGTCAGCATCCTTTGCGACGCTGTCGTCCCAACGTCCCGAGAACTTGGCTGCCAGCAGCGACGATTCGTACTGGCAGAGTGTGCTCCGCAGCACGGCGAGCTTTGTTCCACCGATGTTGATGGGCAGAACGTCGCTCGGCTTCCGGCCTGCCATGAGTTGCTTCTCGTGCTCCACGCCCTCAATTGCCTTCCGCAGGGCCTCCTCGCGCTGCTCGAGATTGGTCTCCCGCTCCTCGAGCTCAGCGCGTGCCGTGTCAAGTGCCTCGAGCACCGCGTCGCCCACCTTTCGCTTCTTGGCCGCCGACATGTCGGATACTAATCGGTAAAATCGGAAGAGATTTTTTTCCGAAGATCCGGAAAAATCTTCAGAAAGGGCGCGGGCGATTCGCTGCCCGCATGTGGTGTTAGCCGTCGCCCACCCTCGGGCGTCTACCACTTCCTATCTCTCTCCGCAGGCGTGAGTGAGTGTGAGTGAGTCACACACACACACACACTCCGCAGGCGGTCCTATCACAGCTGCGCTCCGGGTTATTTTTCTTCCCAAGCCTGAACCCGCCGAGCTGTCCGAGCTGCCAGCCAGGCGCGCAACGAAGGCGCCCGAGTCAGCCTCCGACATGCTGCGGCAGGCGACGAGCAAGCTGCGGCAGGGCAAGCGCATCCTGATCGGGCGCACCCCCTCTCTCAACAGCATGGCCGCTCGCGCGCTCCGTCCTCTCTCCACGCTCTCCTCCCGGCTGCCACTGCCCCTCCTCCCCGCACGGCTTCCGCTTCCCCTGCTGCCCCCACCGCTCCGGCTTCGTGCGCACTCGACCGTCGCCGCGCGGCCAAAGCGCTTCGATTGGGCCGATTGCCGCCGATATGATGAGGCTGGCCGCGAGGATCCGGCGGCGCCGCGCCAGCCTGCGGCGGCTCGAGGCGGCGCGGTCGGGGCGGAGGCGGCGCGCGAGGCGCGCGAGGCGCGCGAGGCGGGCGAGGCGGGCGCTCGTGTCCACCCGAGCGCCGTGGTCCACGAGGGCGCGCTGCTCGGCCGCCGGGTGACCGTCGGCCCGTACTGCGTGGTCGGCGAGCACGTGAGGCTCGCGGAGGGCGTGGACCACACCTCCAGAGTACCGAATCCGTGTGGGTTCAATCCCATGGGTGGTGTGGTAGGCTCGCGGACGGCGTGGCGCTCCACTCGCATGCCGCCGAGCCTAGACGCTGAATACGTGTTCCTGTCTCCCAACCAGCACTCGAGAGACATGCACTCTGCTGTATTCCGCTGCACTCCGCTGTCCTCGCTGTCCTCCTCTCCGTTGTCTGTCACGCGGCGCTCTGAAGACGCTGCACAGTACTCACGCCCTCATGTCGGCGTACTCAGCACGTAGGTCGTCCTGTCTGGGCACACCTCCGTCGGAGAGGGGTCCGAGATTTTCCCCTTCGCCGCCGTTGGCGCCCGCCCGCAGGACCTCAAGTACCTCGGCGAGCTCCCCCCCCTATTTCATTTTTTACCTTGTCTTTCTTTTTACAGGACCTCAAGTACCGCGGCGAGCTCTCCCCCCCTCCCTGGCGGCGTGGAGGTGTGAAGAGGCGCCCCCCCGCCACCACCGGCCTCGCCGTTGTGGGTAGGCGAGCCCTCGCACGCGCGGACCGGAAGTGTCCACGAAGTGTCCAGGAAGTGTCGAGGAGCTGTCTCGGAAGCGGTAGGCGAGCCCTCGCACACGCGGATCGGCGCTCGATGCGCCGTGCACCCGCATGCGCATGTGTGCGGCGGCACGGCGGGCGGCGGCGGGCTGACCTCGATCGGCGGCGACGACTGCCGAGACACTTCCTCGACACTTCCTCGACACTTCCCAGGCGGGCTGACCTCGATCGGCGACGACTGTCTGGTCATGTCGCACGTGCACGTCGGACACGACTGCTCCGTCGGGCCGCGCGTGGCGCCTCTTCCTAGACACTTCCTAGACACTTCCTAGACGCTTCCTAGACACTGCTCCGTCGGGCCGCGCGTGGCGCGCCTCTAGAGCTAGACCGCCCCCAGACAGCTGCCAGACTGTTGTCTGCCAGACTGCACCCAGACAGCTGCCAGACCTCCCGCCCCTCCCTCGCCACAGGTACTGGCCTCGCGCTCTTCCCTCGCAGGACACGTCACCGTCGGCGAGGGAGCGCAGGTGCTTGGACCCTTCTCGGACCCTTCTCGGACCCTTCTCGGACCCTTCCCGGAGCCTCCCTCCTTGCAGGTGTCTGGCCATGCTTGCGTCCATCAGCGTGTGTCTATCGGCGGAGGCGCCTTCGTCGCCGCTGCCGCCGTCCTGCTCGACGACCTCCTGCCGTATGGCCTCGCAGGTTAGTTAGCTGCTTAATACCTGCTTAAGACCTGCTGAATGCCTGCGAGTATACTGCCAGTTCACTGCGAATTCACCGCTGAATAACCTGCTGCCGTATGGCCTCGCAGCGGGCGCCTCGCGAGCGACGGTCGACAGCCTCAACCTGCGCGGACTGCGGCGGCTCCTCGGGACACGTCCAGGACACGTCCGGGACACGTCCGAGACATGTCCACAGGCGTGGGATACGGCGGCTCCGCACGCCCCCCGCGGAGCAGCGGGCCATGCTGCGCGCCTTCAGGCGAGAGCACTGGTAGACATAAGGGGCGGGGGGCAGAAGAAGGGGAGACGGGGGGGGGGGGGGGGGGGGCCACCCTTTCCCTTTCCCTTCCAGCCCCTTTTTTTTTTCCCCCCCCCTTCCTCCCGTTTTTTCCATTTTTTTATTTATTCCTTTATTTGGCCCCCTTTTTTTTTCCCCCCCCCCCCCTTCCGTTTTGAGCAGTCCCCCCCCCCCCCCCGGGTTCCGCTTTTTTTCCTTAGCAAAAAAACCCCCCCCCTTTTTTCTTAAGTGGCCCAAGCGGCTGGGTCCGCCCCCACCCTTTTGCTTTTCTAAATTCTCCCGTGAAACCCCCCCCCCCCCTCCCATAATCTCCCCCTTACCCATAATCCCTTTGCCTAATATCTCTCTCCGCCCCCCCCCCACACACACACACACCCCACACACCACACACCACACACCACACACCACCACCGCCACCACCACCACAACCACAACCACAACCACAACCACAACCACACCACCCATCACCCCGCAGTGCCTCCCCACACACCCCGACGCTCCCAGCCCGCTACGCAGCCTTGATTCCACACTCCGGCGAGACGGCGAGGCGGGCGGGCAAACTTGGTGCCTGTTGACTTGTGGCTTCGTGCTTGCTTTATTAGGTTCGTGCGCGATCACGCCGGTCCGCGCGGGTTGTGTTTGCCGAGCTCATCCGCTGGCATGTCGGAGCTGTGAGGGACGGCGCCCCGTTGCTTGACCCGTGCCGCAGCAGCCAATCGCGTTGGATCTACATTTAGCAGGTGTTCACTCCGCCGCTCACCTCTCGTTTCTTGTTCACTCATCACGTCACTCAAAACTTGCCTCACATTGCTCATTGGTCTCTTGCTCCCGGCCGGCCTCGTCCCTCGAGTGTCGAGACGCTCGTCCTCGTGGATCTCGACGAGCTCGAGCGGGTCGAGGCCTCGGCGCCTCGCCTCCCACTCTCCGCCACCCACTAGGTCGATCTACGAGAGCGTATAACAAAGAAGCATGCGCACACGGCGCACGAACATGCAAAAGACATGCGCAACAATCATGCTCTCTCACCACACCGGCATGTGCTGGGGTAATCCTGAAATCTCTAGTCTTTTTTAGAGATTGAGAGCCTAAAGATTTGAAAGACTCCACTCGGGTCTACAGTGCTACCCAGAGATTTGAGACCAGAGATTTGAGACTTGAGACCTCAGTCACTCGGCCTCCGGTGGGAGACTTTGAGATTAGAGACAATGGTTGGGTAGTAGGGCTAGAGGGTCGCTCTACACTTAGCCTCTGCAGCGAGCGAGCGCTCAACTTAGCCCCCGCACGGAGCCGGGCTCAGACTTAGACGCTGGAAGGCCGGGGGCCATGAACTAGACGACACGAGGCCAACTCCGGGTAAAACCCGGGTATACCTGCAAAAGTCCAGGTTTACCCGAAAAATACCTGGACGCGGTCCCGACCAGCGTATGCCGCGCACGACGCCATATCGCCGTCTCCCAGGGCCAGTGCGCTACTTGCGGCGCGCAACGCCTGCTCAAGTACGCGCACCGTACCATGTGCTGCCGCTATGCGTGCCTTAAGGCGGCTGCGGCGAAGCGGCGGGCGCGGCATGCCGATGGCAGTGCGGACGATGCGGTTGCGATGTGTTCTGCTTCAAGATCGTGGCGGTGCTTGGCATGCACTTCTGCGATCCCAATCAGCTCATCGCAACGAAGCAGCGCAACAAGCTGGCTGCTGCCAACAAGGCCCTATGCTACCTCACGCGCGGATCGTTCAAAGAGGACCAGCATACACAGGCTTCTCTGACATGCGTTTGTTTGAGCTTGAGGCTATTTGTGAAAACTATTTGGCTAGATGTCGCCGAAGTGCGCTCAAGAAGCAGCAACGAGAATCGGAAGAGGAGGATGCTGAGGCGGCGATTGCTGAGCATGAGGAGGATCGATCGCCCGCCGCGCAGGCGAAGAAAATTTGGGCGCGAGCGCCGTATATCGCGTGCCATGGCCGACTTAGCCGGTGTATGCAACGGCGACGCTGCAGCGGCGGCGACGCTGCTGCGATGGGGTACTGTAGCCCTTAGCTGCTGGACAGCACCTTGTGCAGTGGCAATGTCCACTGACTCATGGCACCAGCCTTGTGCCATGAGCGCTGTGGTCAGTTGCGCTTTGTGCGCCGGTGACGCTGCAGCAGCGACGCTGCTGCAGCAGCGACGCTGCTGCGGTGCTGCGCCTGCACAGCACCTTGGTGCACAGTGGCAATGACTCCCGGCACTTGATGTCCTCAAATGTCCACAGAGAGTATACTGGTTGTGCTCAGGTTGTGCTACATCAACAGGGTGCAACTGAGGCTGCAACTAAGGGATGAAACAGCTTTGCAACTGCTGCCCAACTTTTGTTGTATGTTGATGGGCTGCAACTGCATCCACCTGCCACCTTGGACACCTCGATACCTCAGACGCCTCTTGACAACACTCGACACCCGCTCGACACCCGCTCGACACCCTCGACACCCCTCGACACCCCTCGACACCCCTCGACACTCCTCGACACGGACAAGCATGGTTTCAGCCTCGACAGGCCTCGACAGGCCTCGACAGGCCTCGACAGGCCTCGACAGGCCTCGACACCTCTATCCCTCGACAGCAGCTCGACACCCTCGACACCGGGCCTCGACACCTCGACACCAGGGCTCAGTCGGGAGGACGACCCCGGCTAGTCGCCGACCACACCCACAAAGAAACCTGCACAAACATCGCAAGGGCGGGGACCTGTTCCTTTTTACCCATCTCACAGTAGAGAGTGTCCGTTTTTATTTATTTATTTGGTCTGATCTTGCCTGTTGCTTCTTCGTTCTTGGTCTTGACGGGCTCGTTGTGCGAGTATATGGGCCACGATGTCTCAAATATGAGGGGGTTTGACTCCTACCGGCTCCTGACGCTATCCCTGGCAGCTCTAATGACCGGGATCAGTAGTGCTATGATAGAGGGTGCCCATACTAGCGCAGGAGCTGCCACACTCGCCCGGACCGTCCCCCTCTGGGGCCGGTTCCGCAGCCAGCGAGAGCCGACAGCGGGGCCGTGCCGCGGGTGCCTACTGCCGAGTGCCACAAACACTGCGCCGTCCCGCCACCACCTACAGGCTGTCTTGTGTGATGGTTGGGATGTCCAAACGCCACCATCTTGGCTCTTGCGACCTCAAACCCGCGAGCTGTATGGGTGGTCCTGACGTCGACAGACGCCCGATGACCACGGTGAAGCTGAGCCGGAACGCGTCGACAAGTCTCGTCTGAGCCCGTGGCGGTCGCCGGCTGAGTCGCTGTGCACGGGCCGGTACCTCAGGCGTCACCTCCGCAGCCTCAGGTCTCAAACTCCACCACCTCCGCCAGGACGCCGTCGGTGGCACGTTCGGCGGCGAGTTTGTTGCAGCCCCACAGCGAGCGCGGCGTCGAGCCCATTCGGTCTGGTCGGTTCGCGGCACTCCCTGGGTGCCAGGGAGTGCCGCCGACACGCGAGCGGTGCTTCCTGGCAGCGCGCGCCGGCTGTGGGGCTGCAACAAACTCGAGACACGCTTTTTGGGACATTTTCGACGCTTTTGGCGCACAACAAGCCGACGAGCTCCCGGCGCTTCGACGCTCGAGCTCGACGCTCGGAGGCCTCGCCTCCACTCTCCGCCGCCCACTAGGTCGATCTACGAGAGCGTATAACAAAGAAGCATGCGCACACGGCGCACGAACATGCAAAAGACATGCGCATGTTATGCTCTCTCACCACAACGCACACTGTGCAGGTGTGCAAGATATCTCTCTCCGCTCAGCGCTCTGCAGTCCCAGCAACTGCACGCGCGACGAGTACATGCGACACGACGGGATCACAACCGGCATGCTCAGGCGGCCAAAACACACGTATGGAATGGGCAGCACGAGGGCCGCACTAGAGGGGTGGTCAACAGGCCCTCCCCCTCACACCTCCTCCGAGACCGAACAATCTGGGCTCGCTCGCACTGCCGCCGCCGCCTCGCCCGCCGCCCCGCCCTCTGCGCCGCCGCCGTCGTCGCGCAGCAGATCGAGCACTCCGGCAAAGCCGTGCCGGGCGGCAAGGAACTGGACGGTGCCGCGCCGCAGCTGCTTGATGGCGTCCACGTCGGCGCCCGGCGTGCCCGACAGCTGCGTGAGCCGCTCGAGTAGCAGCGCCACCAGCGGCTCCACCCCGGACTCGGTCGCAAGGTGGAGAGGGGTCATCTGGTAGTTGTCTTCTACCGTCAGCTCCCAGCACGGCGTCTGATCCGACAGCAGCCGCGCCGCCTCGACCTGCTCGGAGGCGCACGCCGCGTGCAGCGCCGTCTGCCCCTCCTCGTCCGCCCGCCACAGGGGTGCGCCCGCGCCGAGCAGCAGGCTGACGAGGGAGAGGCTGCCGTCGGAGGCCGCCTCGTGCAGCAGCGTGCGGCACTCCCGCCACTGCTTGACGGCGGCCGGGTGCTCGTGCACCAGCGCGCGCGCCGCCTCGACGTCCTCCGCCTCGACGGCCGCCTTCAGCGCCGCCGCAGCGCTCGCGATCCCATCTATCAGCTCATAATCGGAGGACTCGGTCTCGCTCCCGGCGGATGGCCGGTCGAGGATGATTGCCCTGCGGCGGCGGCGCGGCGAGCTGCTCGAGCACTCGGAGAGGTTGGAAGTCTCGCTGTGGTTGGAAGTCTCGGAGAGCGACGGCGTTCTCTCCACCGCCTTTGGCAGCGGGGCTGCTGGGGGATGCTCCGGCGACTTCTTGAGGATCCCGCGAGGGCTCTTTGGAGACTTGGAGCGCGGGCTCCGAATGGATAGCATGGCGAAGTCGGTCGCCCAAGGTAGCCACAGGTGAGAATCATCTTTTGGCAAAAGAATTTCCCATCCGCGCGACAGGCCAATCATGTCTTGAATGTCCGATACTGGAAGCCCATCTAGGCACCTTACACTCCCCCGCAGTATCGCACCTCTTGAGCGACACTACGTTTCCGCATCTGGGGATTCTCCGTCCGGGTACCCCTCTTTGTACTAGTAGCGTAGAGAGAGAGAGAGATTTTTAGCAATACCAAACAACTTTTGTTTTGTAGCGTAGTAGGATGAGATTATGAAAAACGCCGGAATTCGGACGAGTACTCTCGCCTGCACAAATTCGATAAGTGGGACAAGGAGGGATGCGTCCAGGTGGCACGTAACGCTCCGAGCCTGACCGCTCGCGGGGGGGGGGGGGGGGGGGGGGGGGGAGAAGAGACAGAAGAGCGCCCGCCGGTCTACGCGTTTCGGCATGCTGCGCGCCTGCTTCGAGAAGTCGCTGCCCTGCCTCCATCGCCGGGAATGCATGGCGCCTGCCGGTCCTGCCCCGACGAAGCCGGCCGCCGCCCTCCCCTTCGCCTCCGATCTCGGCGTCGATGAGTGGAAACTGTCAGCGTGGCGCAAGCAGCTCGGCGGCGGCGACCTGGAGCCAGTCCTCGCGAGCGGCGCCGTCGCCCTCCTCGACGCGCAGTGGATCGTCCGCCACGCCGAGGCGGGCGGCGTCCTCACCCACCGGCAGGCGCTGCCCAAAGAGGCCTTCCTCTCCCTCGCCGACCTCGTCGAGGCAACCAACGAGATATTGGACTGGCTTCCCGTCGCCGCGCTCTCCTACCCGTGGCTGACCAAGGACCACCCCGACCCGATCGGAGCCAACCTCTCCCGCGTCGCAAGGGCGCTCAAGGCCCTGCTCACGTCTCCGCGCATCACGCGGCTCGGCGTGTTTTGGGACTTCGGCTCGCTGCACCAGCACCCCGACCCCCCCAACGGCGTCATGCGCACCGAGGAGCAGAACGCGCTCTTCAAGCAGGGACTGGGCTGCCTCGGCACGCTCTACTCCCACCCGAGCACGACCGTGCTGCGGCTGACCTCCTTCCCGGACGGCCACAAGGCGGAGGACCAGGCCGAGGGCACCAACGTGGCCAAGTACTTTGACCGCGGCTGGTGCTTCACAGAGGCCAGCTGGGCTAGCCTAACCAAGGACTTCGACCTCTCGCTCGACCTCGGCAAGATGCGCGACGGCAAGGAGTACGACTACTGGAGCCTCCGAAACGACTGCGTCCAGGACGGGGGCCGGCGCCCTCCGCTGCTGCCGTCTGCGTTCGCGGCGGAGCTGGAGTCGAAGAGCTTCACCAACGGCAAGGACGACAAGCCGCTGGTGAAGCGGCTGTACGAGGCCGCCTTCGAGGAGCAGTTTGGCAAGGCAACCAAGCTGGTCTACCGCCACCTCGGCTGGGGCGACGCGGAGGCGGCGCAGCTGGCGGAGGTCCTCGCGAGCGGGGCAGCGACGCGGCTCAAGCAGCTCTATCTCACCTACAACAAGATTGGCGACGAGGGCTGCAAGGCGCTGGCCGCCGCCCTCGGCAAGGAGGGGGCAGCGCCGCAGCTCGAGATGCTCTATCTCGACCGCAACAAGATTGGCGACGAGGGCTGCAAGGCGCTGGCCGCCGCCCTCGGCAAGGAGGGGGCTGTGCGGCGGCTCGAGTATCTCAACCTCGTGAGCAACCAGATTGGCGACGAGGGCTGCAAAGTGCTGGCCGCCGCCCTCAAGGAGGGGGCCGCCCCGAGCTTGAAGGCGCGAGACGCCCCCTCGCCACACGCCCCTTCCCCGCCCAATGCTCATCGCACCCTGATCGCACCTTCCCTCGCGTGCAGACGCTCGCCGTGGGCAGCAAGAACAAGGAGCCTGAGCTGGTTGCCGTGTGCGAGGAGCGCGGCATCGACCTCTACTGAGCCTCCCAAGGCGACAGCGCGGGACCTGTCTGTCTGTCTGTCTGTCTGTCTGTCTGTCTGTCTGTCTGTCTGTCTGTCTGTCTGTTTGTCTGACGCGCGCCAGTCGCACCGACTTGGAAGTTGGAAGCACTCCGCGAAGCACTAAGCGCCATCGGCGAGGCCGGGACCTACGCCGCGCCGGGCAAGGGGCGCGCCCGGTCCTCGACGGAGCCGCGCGCCCAAAGTTTCTTTGCAGTCTCTCGCCAATTCTCGGAGCGACCTTTATGCCGCCTCGCGGTCTTCTCACTCTCGACGATCGTTCTCTCTCCTGCCGCTTGAAATCTCTAGGCGCGCGCGAGAGCAGGTTAGGCGCGCGCGAGAGCAGGCGCGCGCGAGAGCAGGCGCGCGAGAGCAGAGGCGCACACCGACGATACCCGATTTGAGGGGGCGACGATTTTCGTCGGCCACACGACTTCGGCGATCTAGCAATAGTTTACGGGGATGTACTTTTAGGTGGTAGCAAACCCTTGGCGCACGCATATCTTGGATGGCCGGCATGGGGCCTGAGGCGTCGCCCATGCTTGCCATGTGCGAGTAGATGGTACTAGAATGCACTAATAGGCTCATCGCGCAAGGTCGGGATCGCAAGTTATGCCCGCATCAAGCGCCAGTTCAGAGTCGTCCAGAGTCGACGTGGCACACACGCCGTGGCAGGCCGTGTAGCCACTGAGATGGCCTTATGACGACCCCGTTTCGGCATCGTCCCCAAGGGCAAGGCCTCTGCTCATGAGCTCCACGCGGGATGACTGGCTCACTGATCACAAATTCCCACGATATCTCACAAAGCGCCAAAATTCTTCCTACGATATCTCACAAAGCGCCAAAATTCTTCCTCGTGACAGCATAATTCGACGACTCTGATGTTGCAGAGAGAATTTGTGATCAGTTGGTTCAGCCAGTCATTCCCGCATGGAGCTCATGAGCAGAGGCCTTAGGGACGATGTCGATCGAAACGGGGTCGTCATAAGGCCATCTGAGCAACCACGCCGTCGTCCGCCGTCGCAGCACACCAGGGTGGCGAGCGCCGCACATCACAGCACTGCTCGTGCCCGTCAAGAGACGCGCCGGTCACAAGCACATCCTTTGATGCTGTCTGTCGGTCCCGGGTATGCACAAATTCCCGCACGGAGAGTCGGCAAAAAAGCCCGAGCAAAGCCGTTGTACCAATCCTCGCTACCCAACGCGGCCAAAGGATATCCACCTCGAGAACCTCGAGAAAGCCGTTGCATTGGAGCACTTGGAGTGCAATCAGTAACCTCACATCCAGGGCCGAGGAGCTCAGAAGCGCACCCAGCGGGCCGGATGATCGGTGTCGGGTTGCGGGCAAGAGAGCCCTAGCCCCGGGGGTGCGCGTTCGCAGGGCAAGGGCTGCATTGCCCTTTTTTTTCTCCCGTCTCTCTGCATGGACGAGTCCTTCCACACCCGCAGCGATCTTGTCAAGCATTGTGTCGCGTCCCTCTTCATCACCCTCGCCGGCTACGCCGCGCTCTCGCAGCAGGCTGCGCTCGCACGCGTCGCCGGCGCGGTGGGATGCGCAGCAGCAGCGGGCGCGGTAAAGGAGGCTGCCGATGCTTCCAACCTGTGGCCGTGGTGCCCGTACGTGTCTTGTGCGGCCGACACGCTCGACCTGATTGCGGACGCCGTCGGGATCTGGCTCGCGTGCGCTCTTCTTCTGATCTGGCGCCTCTTCTCCGCTCGACACGGCCGGACGTACCTCGCAATCGCGCCGGTCGCAGCCACGGAGGAGCCCGACGGCGCGATCTGAGCCGGCTCCTCCTCCTCCTCACAGCGCACACCCCAGGAGCGGCGGGCAAGGCAGTCGACACGGGCGCCGTTCGAGGCTGGTCGTCCTGGTCGCTCTGCACCGTCAAAGGGCGGCCGGGCTACGGCCCCGAGTGGCTGACGGCCTCCAACGTCGACGCGCAGTCCGCGGCGCTCGCGCGCACCCTCCAGCCGCACGGCTTTGACCACGTGTGTTCCATGCCTAGCTCCAGTGTGTTCCTTACCTCCAGTGTGTCCCATACCTCCAGTGTGTCCATGATACCCCCAGCCGCACGGCTTTGACCACACTCGCTCGCTCCTCGGCCCGACGCCGGTGCGAGGAGAGGGGGAGGGGGTCCGGTCGTCCTCGTAGGTGGACGTAGACTCGCTCTGGGCGGCCGACGCGGCGCACCACGTCGATCTGCACGGACGGTGTATATATCTCGGGAAATCTCGGGACATCTCGGGCGGCGGAGCACGGCGACGAACAGTGACCATAGGTGTCAGTTGACAATAGGTGGACGCACAACTCGACCCGCTTCCCTGAGGGGATGCGGCGGCTCGCCGACACGCTGCACTCGCGCGGACAGAAGCTCGGGCTATACCTCAACCCCGGCCTCCCAAAGGCGGCGGCCTAGCCTCGGCTGATCTCGGCTAATCTCGGCTAGTCTCGGCTCATCTCGGGCTATACCTCAACCCCAAAGGCGGCGGTGCGCGCCGCTTCTCCCGTCCTCGGCGCGCCTGGCTGCACCGCCGCCGCCGCGGCGGCGCGGCCCCTCCGGCCGGCGAACAGGTTTGGAAACGCGTTTGCCCTCAACTGGAGCAGCCCGTGCGCAGCGGCGTACGTGCGCAGCGTGGCGCACCAGTTCTCGGCCGAGCTCCGCGCGGACCTGCTCAAGCTCGACGCCGTCTCGCCGGGGAGCGAGTGGCACGGCGACAACGCGCGGTTCGTCGCGGCGCTCTCCCGCGCGCTCGAGGCGACCGGCCGAGCAGTCTGGGTCTCCCTCTCCTGGTCCATCGACCCCGCCTCCGCCGCCGCGTTTGTGCCCTTTGCCAACAGCTGGCGCACTTCGGACGACGTCGAGTGCTACTGCGACGTCCTCGAGCGGTGGCCCGCCGTGCGGCGCCGGTTCGCGCAGGCGCGGCCTTGGCTCCGCTACTCGTGCGAGGCGGGCGGCAGCGATCGCGCGTGCGATGCGTCGCGCGGTCTGCGGACTTTTGCGCGACGCAGCCGCCGCCGTCTCTCTGACCCTTGGACGCGTCCCGGACACGTCCCCTCTAGGCCGGCCGGATCTCGACTCGCTCGACGTGGGCAACGGCGCGCTGGACGGGGTGAGTGACGAGGAGCGCAAGTCTGCGGCGTCCCTCTGGGCCTTGATCGGAGGGCCGCTGGTAACCGGCAGCGACCTGACCCGCCTCACGCCGTCTGGGTTGGCGCTGCTGACGCACGGCGGCTTCCTCGCTGTCCACCGCGCCGCGGGCGATCGCACGGCGGTTCCCGACGAGCAGAGCTGCGCCGGCGGAGGGGAGTGCTGGCGGCTGCGCCTCCCCGACGGCTCCGACGTGTGGGGCCTCTTCAACCTCCGCGACGAAACGGCGCGGGTCGGCTTCGCCGCCGCCGCCCCCTTCACCGCGCGAGACCTTTGGAGCGGCGCCGGCCTCGGCCCGCCGGCCGCCGGCTTCAACGCGTCGCTGCCCGCGCACGGCTGCATACTGCTCCAGGCACGGCCCGTCGCGGGGGGCGGCGCCGCCTCTTGGTTGTACACCCCCGCTCCCGAAAGCACTCGTCAGTGAGACGTCGACTTCGATCGTCCGGCTCGTACGAGAGTGCGTGTACAGAGAAAAGCCCTACCGTGTGACCGCGCGTGTCTCGGCGCATTGCCACTGGTTAGAGAGACTTAGTCTTAGAGCCGTACGGGTGTGGACCGTGAGAGTGAGTTGCACGTACAGGGGGGTTGTGCGCCTTGTCGCTTGTGCGCTGGGTCTCTCAGTCTCACGCTCGGTGTAAAAAAGAAGACGACGTCCCACCGCGCGCGGCTCTCGCAAACACATTGCAGCAACGACGCACCGCGTGACAAGAGACACTCGCGTGCGAATCGGCGCAAAATAGCCAATATACTTAATAAGTATGTGAGAGTCACTTCATGCGCGGACGGCGGCGTTTGCGGTTTGGCCTTGCCCGCGCGCGCGGCGACCAGACCGCCCTGGTCAAGCTGGAGGTCGAGGTCGGTTGACGGCGACGGTGATGGTTGGCGTCGCGATGATGACCCAGACGTTCCTCCACGCGCCCGTCAGGTTTGCCAGGTCCTCCTTGGCGGCGGGGGACAGCCCCAATGTGACACATTCACATAGTGACTCGCCGTGTTTGCTAAGACAGGACCTCCGCAGACACGAGGGCTGGCCGGCCGCTCCTAACTCGCTGAGTCACCCCCGCTGGCTGACGGGTACAGCTGGTCGCACTTAGCCTGGCAGGCCTCCAATGAGGGCTGATTCTCCAGGTCGACCGCGTGACGGCGCCGCTCGCGGGCGTTCGCTGCAACCGAGGCAAAGGAAAGAGGGTACCACAGGACGAGGCGCTCTTCGCTGTGCGCCCTATCGAGGGCGGTCACCGTGTGCGCCGTCGTCGGGCGGCGACGACCGTCCTGGTCCACTGCTAGCCATGTCAGCGCAGTGCCCGCTTTAGAGGGCACGCGGAGCGGTGCCGGGACCGCAAGCGGAAAGACGGTCTCCACGGGGGAGTCACTGAGGTACACGATGAAGGTAGAGTCGATAAGCGAGCCGTATGGTCCGTGCGCCCCAGAATCTGACCACACGTCGGTGTGCACGGGGACGGCAGGACTCCCGGGCTTGTACCGAAGCAGGTCGCCCGGCCCGAGAGTGTCCGTGGAATCCGTACCCCACGCCTCGGCGACCCGCGTTCGGACAGACTGGACGATTGCGCGCCCGTCCGCATCGAGCAGTGTAGGGGAGGACCCGCACATCTTGTAGCCCTTCTCCCTCACCTTGTAGTCGCTGTCGTGCTCGCCCTTGCAGGTGTTCCACCTCTCCTCAGGCGCCTGGAGAACCAATCGGACCAGCTCCTCGCGCTCTGTCTTGTTGAGAAACCCCTCGATTGCCCAGATGCCCGAGGCTGGCGAGCCGCCCACGCCGGTGGGGGCTGACGCTGGGAACGGCCATTTCCATGTCGCATTCGTGGCCGCGTCAGCATTCGGGATGCTGCGTGAACTCGCAAGAAGCCCACGACGGGCGCGTGGCGGCGCCGGCATCGACAGGGAGGCGAAGTGCATGTGGCAGGCGTCGCTGCACTCATTCTGGTCTGAGAAACCGGTCGTCTTGGCAGAGCTGCGCTTTACATCTTCGACACGCCTGCGGCGGCCGAGGGGGCCGTCGCCGCCGCTGCACTCATTCTGGTCTGAGAAGCCGGTCGTCTCCGAGGTAGCTTCCACACGCCTGCGGGTGCCGAGCCCGTCGCTGCAATCGCATGGCTCATCCGGCGCCGGGAGAAATGGGATTGATCCAGGGTGCGCGTTCACGTCGAAAATCGGCTCAACATCTTGCCCTTCGAAAATTGGCTGTCCAACTAACTGTAGTGAGCGTCGGGCTGGTGGTTCGACGTCTTCGAAACTATGCGGCGAGGAAGGAGGCGGAAAGGGCATCGGCGACGCCACAACATCTTCGTGCGAAATGTTTCCAGAGATCGCGCCACAAGGGATGCAGGCAGGGCCCGGGAGTCGCCACTCGCCATCGCAGGCGGAGCACCACGGGGGCGGCTCGCGATCCAAGCAGTCCCAGGGCGGGAATTGCGGCTGTCCACTGAGCACCCCGTCGCAAAATGGAAACCCGAAGATTTCATTTGAGCAGTATTCCCGTGCCCTGCAGATACCCCCACCGCACTCTAGGCCTTCGTCGTCGCCATCTTCGCATCCGAACGGTAGCGATGCTGGCGGTGGCAGCGAGGGTGGAGGCGGAAAGGCCAAGGAGGCAGAGACGTCGAAGACCATCGTCGGAAAGACCATCGTCAGATTGTGACTGCACAGACACGTGGAGGTGGGTACGCTCAAATTGGTCAAATTGACCGATTCGCCAGAAAAAACGTCACTGGTGAGCGGTGTATCCAGCGTGATTGGCAGTTTCGCGGCGAGGCGGCGCCTGCCAGAGGGCTCTGCGAGGGCGACCACCTCGTAGTTTGACCCGTCCAAGGTGATGGTACTGCCCTCCTGGAGGCCGTCGACGTAGCAATTGACGAAAATGACGGTGTCGCCGATGCTGGCGTCCTGCGTCAGCGTCATTCCTGTCTCTGGCAGGCATGTTTCGGACGGCGGTAGTGGCGGAGGCGAAGGGGAGACTGAGGGCAGCGGCGGCGATGGCGAGGCGGATGGGGGGGAGGGAGACGGCGACGGCGGAGGGGATGGCGATAGCGAGGGCGGCGATGGCGGCTCGCACTCGCCGAGCCGGCGGGTGGCCATGGTGGCAGCACCGACCTCCTCGCTCCCGTCGACGGAGGCCGATGCAGTGGTCTTGGGCGCATCGGCCGCTGCTCCCGACGAGAACTTGCGACCCGACAGCGCGGCAACGTCGCGTGGAGGCGCCCGGGAGAGGCCGAAGCGCGAGTAGGCAAAGGCCGTGGCAAAGGGAGAGGGCATCACGTACTCCTCCCAGCGGCCAACGATCGCGCCCTCTGCCATCGCCTTGGTCGTGAGGTTAAGGCCGGGGCGAGGCTTGGGATCGCGTGCTCCGTCCACCGCGATCCCAGAGCCGTCGAACGACTGGCCGATGAGGCCATGCGGCGACACTTTGAGAGATGCCTCTGGGACCCGGAGCGCAAAGTGCGCGTCTAGACGCACCTTCGGTCCGCTGATGTGATCGGCGCGATGGTAGTAGTCAGGCACCGCCTTGGGCGCGACGGTGAAGTTCCACTCCGGCGTGGACAGGGTGACAGAGGAATGATTCGCCTGCAGCTGCACCTCTCCGCAAGACTGTCGCTGCAGGGGCGAGTCGCGCAACACATGGCCCAGGCGGGCTCCGGTGAGCTTGAACGGCCTACCGGCGCAGGTGCCGTTTGACCAACCCAAAAGGCTCGCCGGCGATATCTTGAAGCCAAACATTGAGAACTGGAGCAGGCCAGCCGACGTGGTGGCGAGTGCGTGAAACTGCGTGAGCCAAGAGCCGTTCACCGTGGCTTCGTTCATGCGAAAGATCCCCTCCTCGGTCATCGCATTGATGCTGAGGCGCGCCGCGCTCAGCAAGTTAAAGAGCCGGCCGTGTTCGCCTCGGAAATCGGCCCTCCCGCCGTGCGCAAAGGTGAGATGCGGGTCGCCCTCGCCGCTTGCATCGGGGCACGTGGCATTCAAATATGCAATCAGCGCGAGCAGTAGGATGGGGAAAAGTGCGGCGCGCCGCAGCGGCATGTGTGAGCAGAAGGGGCACGAGCACGGGCACTACGGGAGCAGAAGCAACAGCAAAAGGTATTGGGCGTTTGGGGGCATTAGTTAAATTGCACGTAACCTAAATTCCAGCCTAAATTGCATGTCGCTATATGTAGTACTATCTGTGGCCGGTTCAGCCTTTACTTTTTTGGAGGGTAATTGCATTTACGTACTTTTAGCTTAATTAATGGGAGAAAAGCATGTCCGTCTGCCATGCGCAACGTTTCCGGGTACTGTGGCCCCTTGTGCCCTTGATTGAGCCTTGTACTTTGTCCCTTTTTTTAATATTGGGGACAGGGGGTGTTCTCTAGGCCCCTAATGGCCCTACGCGCGGCGTGTGCCCACACATGCGGAATCGACCCTGATGAGAATGAGGTGGAGAATATCGTAGCGAAATCCAAGTGCAAAATAGTGAATAGTTCACCCGATACCACGTTCGGATCGCTCCTCATCGCAAACCCTTTCAGCAGTTCACCCTCGGGTATGTTCGTAAGAGCTACATACACTGACACACACACTGAAAATGTCTTGGTTTGCCAACAACATACCTTAAACGGAAAATGTCGAACCACCAGCCCGACCGACGCGCACTACAGTAAGACCCTATCTGGGCGATTGAGCCTACCCTGGTGGCTTCCCATGGTGTAAACGCGGCGCGATGCACTCGTGGGCCCTGTGCTGCAAGAACAATTTGCGGACTTGATCGTCTCATTCGCCAGCATAATCGTCGCAGACCTGCGCGTGCTTTGGTCGGTGATGGCGCGAATTCCCATCGCCGGCGTCGACACCCTCACGCGCACTAGCGACGCCTTTGTTGTGCTGTGGCAGCCGCACAGTAGGCTGTGTCAACTGTGCAGAGTGTGTGAGCAGCAGAGGAGCTGCTCTCCAGGCTTCAGGCGCAAAGAGCTGCATGCCATCGAACAAGCGCTGTCGAGGTTCGCCGAGCGCGGCGAAAATCGGGGGACACCGTCACCGACGAGCGCGTTGGACTTTTCACTCCGGACAAAGACGGCGACACGCACACGAGCTGCGGCCGTGTCGCCGTCATAGCGGCGAGGCGCGGGACCGTCTGTGGCGAAGTGGGTCGCGCGTCCCCCGATTTCCACGAAAGCGGCGAAGCGCACACGAAAGCGGCCGTGTTTTTTTTGCTTGCCAGCACCCCGTGTTCACAGCCGCTTTCGATACCTCCCACCACCCCGTGTTCAAAGATGAGAGGAGCCCCAGGAGCTCCCAGAGCCACGTGACCATAAAGCCGTAGGCGTAGTCGCGCTACGGGCGTGTGAGGGAGGGGAGGGCGGTGTGGCCGTGCACCGGCGCCGAGACCCCGCAGCGCCGTCAGTTAGCTTTGCCAACGAGCTTCTTGAGGAACTGCTTGACCGCCTTGCGCTTGCGTCCAGAGGTGATGATCTCCACGGCGGGCGCCGGCGCCGCCACCAGCTCGTCCGCCACCGCCTCCGCCACCGCCTTTGGCTCGCACTCGTCTTCGGACTGGCACGAATCGATGGCCGCCTACGGTCAGGACGTGCGGCAGCAGGGTTGGACGAGAGGCTAGTCTGTGCGTCGGTGTATCGCTCCCGTGTGGCGCTGTGGCCGTCTCTCCGCCTCGCTAGCCGCCTCCTGAGAGTCGGGTGTGTCCTGCCATGGCCTGACCGTGTCTTCGCCTACCTCTCTCTAGTCTATACCGCGGCCTGCAGCTCGCAGAGCGCCTCCTCCAACAGCTGGCAGTTGGAGGGCGTCGAGCCTACCTCGGCAGCGGAGCAGGCCGTGAGCAGCGCCTCCGGAGGCCATGAGCAGCGCCTCCAGAGCTGCTCGAGAGGAGCCGCTGGCAGTGCTGGGGAGGGGAGACGGCGCCCTCGCTGAGCACGCACTCGCCAAAGAGCCTACACGAGACACAGCCGCGCGGGCGGGGGTCCTGCGGGCGGGAGAGCGCACGCGCGCTGCTGCCCCGGGGTGGAAGACGTGATCTGCTCCTCGAGCAAGCCCGCGCCGCTCGCCGCCTCGCCGGACGTGAGCTTCTTGATCCACACGTTCGCCGCCTCCTTCTGCTCGGGACCAAAGGTCGCCGCCGAGGCTGCAGGGCGCGGAGGGCGAGGGGCGGTGCGGTCAGTCTTGCTCGTTGACAGGGCGGGCGGGGCACCGCGCACCGCGCAGCTTCGTCGCCGCCTCTTGAATGGCGGTGGGGCCGAGGATGAGTTCGAACTCCGTGTCCTTGGGCGCGTTGCGCCGAACCTCTACCGCGGAGCTGAGCGCCTCAATCGCCTCGGTAAGCGCCTTGCAGCGGCCGCTCTCGTCGTCCAGCTGGCACTCCTCAAAGAGAGTCAGTTGCATCTCCATCAGCCCGGAGGCGCTCGCGTCGCCGGCCGAGACCGCCTGCTCAACCCATGCCTGCGCCTGCTTGCCCTGGGTGACGCCGAAGCGCTTGGCCGCGAGCGTGACCTTCCTGCGCAGGACAAGGACGAAAGGTGCGTGGCAGGCATGGGCGGCTTGCGGCAAGAGGGTGATGTGCTTACTTCGAAGCCGCTAACAGCGTCTTCTCCTCCTCGGTCGCTGCTACGCACTGCAGCTGCGAAACGCGACGACCACTGCTGACGATCGGGACGTGCACGGGCGTTGGCAGCGCGACGAGTGCCGACGCGCCGGCGGCGAAAGCAAGGCACAACGCAAGCATCGGTGAGTCACGGATTCTTCTTTAATGAGGGACCTCAGTGGCACCCCTGTGGGCAATTGTGTGTCCTCTGTGAACTCTATTGTTTTGTTTTAGGTGTATTAAAGGTGAGCTCGGGAGGAAAGCGGCGAGTCGCAATTCCTGGGGTCCTCCTTGTGGCGGGCCACCCTGTCCAGAGAGGCATGGATCGATGGATGCCAATCAACTCTAAACTACTAACACTCACTCGTCATTTGGGGCCTGGAGCCCTGTTCACGCGCGCGCGAGACGTGCAGACAGGGTTGCCAGGTGAGAGCGAATGGCGCAATCTGGGGTCTTTCGACCGAGTCTATGAAGCCCTGGCCGCTCCCGGTGGTGGTAAAGGTAGGTTGAATATATATCTACCTTTCCCTCTGACCTAGGTTTTCTTCTCAGGGGAGCAAGATCGCCGGCTGCCGCATCTCAGTCAGCCCGGCGGACGCGAGACAATCGCGCTCGGTTTTGCTCGTCGAATCGCGGGTCCTGGGGAAGGCCCCCGCACGGCCACGCGCCACGGGGGGTCCCGGCCGACGTCATTCCGCCAAGCGTCCCGGGCCGCCCAGGCAAGTGGCCCAAATGAGAGTTTTCATCATTCCAGTGGTGTGCCTGTGATAGTGCTAGCACGCGCCAGTTCGCACCTGTGTCGAGCCTGTCTGCAAGTTGTTTTGTTTAAATTCTATATCCGGCTCTCATCTCGGTCATCAACACCACCGCACGTCCCCCCGGACGTTCCGCTCTTGCCAGAGAATGCTGCACCTCGTGCTCGCGGCCGCCTCCTGGCAAGGCGCGCGGCCCGTGGCCTCTCCGCGCTCCCTCCGCTCCTGCGCCATCCGGCAGTGCGCCGTCGGCCCCCTCCCGGGCAGCTTTGTGGTGCCAAAGGTGGATGAAGTCGCGGCACGGCTTAAGAAGGAGGCAGACACCGGTCACGTCCCCTTCAATCCGGTCGCCGAAGCAGATTTTGTCGCCGAGACGCTCTTTGTGGCCCGCCGGCACGACGCCAACGAGGGCCCTTACATCCAGGCGGTTCAAGAGGTCGCTGAGTCTCTCGCGCCGCTTTTCGTGCGCGAACCGCACTACTTTTATCTCTTCAAGACCATGCTCGAACCAGAGCGGATGATCCAGTTCCGCGTGCCCTGGATCGACGACAAGGGCCGCACGAGGGTGAACCGCGGCTGGCGTGTCCAGTGGAGCAGCGCGCTTGGACCCTACAAGGGCGGGATGCGCTTCCACGCCACGGTCACGTCGGGGGTCATCAAGTTCCTTGGCTTTGAGCAGACCTTCAAGAATGCGCTCACCGGCATGTCGCTGGGGTCGGGCAAGGGAGGCTCCGACTTCAACCCAAAGGGCAAGAGCGAGGCAGAGATAATGCGCTTCTGCCAGTCCTTTATGACGGCGCTCGCGCCGCACATCGGGCCCAACCGCGACGTACCGGCGGGCGACATCGGCGTGGGCGCCAAGGAGATTGGGTATATGTACGGCCAGTACAAGCGGCTCAAGCAGGGCGAGTTCGAGGGCGTGCTCACAGGCAAGGATCCGGCCTGGGGCGGGTCGCTCATCCGGCCCGAGGCGACAGGGTACGGCTGCGTTTACTTTGCGCGCGCGGCGCTTGAGGCGCACGGGCAGCACATCGCGGGCAAGCGCGCGCTCGTCTCGGGCTCGGGCAATGTCGCGCAGTTCACCGCCAAGAAGCTGCTCGCGCTCGGTGCGGGGACCAGGCCGCGGCCCAGCCTGTGCCCGTGACCTACGTGCTACACGCACGCCTGTAGGCGCCAAGGTGCTGACCTTCTCCGACTCGGAGGGGACCGTGCACGAGCCCGACGGCTTCACCGAGGAGCAGCTCGCCCAGCTCGTCGCCGTCAAGCAGAAGCGCGGCGGCCGCGTCTCCGAGTACGCCCGGCTGAGCCCGACCGCCGTCTTCCTCGACGGAGAGCGCCCGTGGTCGATCGCGGCGGACATTGCATTCCCCTCCGCCACGCAGAATGAGATTGACGACGCCGACGGCGCGGCCCTCGTCGCCAACGGCGTGGTCGGCGTCTTTGAGGGGGCCAACATGCCATCGACCCCGGAGGCCATTGCGCGCTTCGAGGAGCGCGGCGTCATCTTTGGCCCCGCCAAGGCGTCCAACGCGGGCGGCGTGGCCGTCAGCGGGATGGAGATGGCGCAGAACGCGCAGCGTGTCAGCTGGGACGCGGAGACCGTGGACCGGGAACTGCAGGCGGTCATGACGAGGATCCACGGCGAGTGCCACGCCGCGGCGGTCGAGTATGGTTTCGGAGGGAACCTGAAGGCGGGCGCAAACATTGCGGGCTTCAAGCGCGTCGCCGACGCCCTCCGTGACCAGGGCGCGGTCTGACGCGTGGCGCCTCGCGCGCGCGCAACGCGGTTCGAGAGCCTTCAGGCCCCCCATCCACAACCCAGGCTACTGCTTACGTGTACGTCGTGGATATGCGTCTCACGCGCGCTGGTCGCTGCCGAGTGGAGTCGCGAGTGCGCACTAGCCCCGAAGTCCGTGCTTTCGTCGATCGTAATTCGTCGATCGTGTCAGACCGCTCACAAGATACTGTATATCATCAATGTTCAAAACAAGACCAAGGGCAAACGCCGAGCGTGTGTGTGTGTCTCCCGGCGTGTAGCGTGGAGCCAGATATCCGGTAATATAAGATACAAAAAGGTCAATTTTCTGTCCGTCACGCGGGATGCCAGTATATCTCTCCCTCGGCTCTAGTATCTCTCAACTGGCGGGGCGCGGCGCCCAAAGGTCGTCCGGCCGCGCGGCCTCGACCGCCGCTTCGCCGCCGCAGTCGGAGCCGCCCCCCGCCCGCTCCGCGAGGAGCCAATCAAACGCCTCCCTCCCCGTCCGCGCCGCGCCGCGCCGCGCCCAGCAAAAGAGCGTGCAGCCGCTCGCGGCGCATGGCGTCAGGTGCGTCTCCGAGATCGCGTCCAGGGCGCCCGCCGCGGTCCGCTCCTCGCTGCGAAGGAGCTCAAAGCCTGCAGCCTCTGCGCTCGCCCGCTGGTGGTCGTCGAGGTGCGCAAAGTTCTCCGAGCGCGCGAAGAGGACGAGCGGCTCCGCACGCTGCGGCTCGATCTCCCCACCTCTCCCCATCTCTCCCCATCTCTCCGCACGCTGCGGCTCGCTGTCCGCAGCGCCGCCCTCCGTCGAGCAGCCGGCAGGCAACAGCTCGCCCGCAGAGCGGAAGAGGCTCGTCACCGCCTCCGCGTCGTACGACATCTCACACGCGACGACCAGCAGCGGCGCAGGCCCGGCGTCGCCCTCTCCGCCCGCCCCGAAGTTGCGCTCCACCAGCGCGGAGAGCGCGCCTCCCTCGTGCACGTCCAGCCGCTCGACAGACGCGAGGCGGCTACCGTTGAGCGAGTCGTTCCGCTGCAGCACCTGCACATTCTCCTCAAAGCAGTCGGTCGCGACGACGCCGCGCGCAAAGATGTCGCCGCCGAGCGCGGCGGCGACGAGGCTCGCCATCCCGGCGCCGGCGCCGACCTCGAGCAGACCCATCGGCCACGGCGGCGGCTCGGCTCTTCGCGACGCAATCGCCAGCGCGACGGCGTGGCCGCCGGGCCAGAGCAGCTTGCCCATCGTGCGGAAGCTACACAGCTGCATCGAGAGGTGCTCGACCTGCATCCGCAGCGTCGCCGTGTCGGCGAGCAGGCGGCTTCGCATCAGCGAGGCAGGCGGACGACCCACAGCCGGCCGATCGACAGTCGGCCTCGGATCGCCGTGCTTGAGCAGCCGCCGCAGCGAGTCGACGTCTCCCGAGGCGATGAGACTCAAGGCGTCCGCGTCCTCCATCCGTTTGGTCGTCACCTGGCGAGCAGAGGCCTTACCTTACCTTACCTTACCTTACCTCGATCCTCGTCCGGGAGCGTCCTGCGACTCCTGGCCCCACTCCGCGAGCCTTCCCCCCGCCGAGCACCAAAGAGAGCGTGCGTGTGCCTCTCGCCAGATATCGAGCCCTCCGGGAGAATCTCAAGATAGAGAAAAACACAAGGCTCTCTCACAGTGTGTGTGTGTGTGTGTTAGTGCGGACGTCGCCGCGGCTCGCCTCTGCCGCGGCGGCTGCTGCGCGCACGCGGCGGCGCCGCTCTCTCGCGAGACGGCTGGCGACGCGGCTCGCCGCCGACGTACGGTGCGCTCGTCCGACGGTCCGCAGCGTGGCGTGCGCGGCGCTGCGCGCCGCTCTGCGAGCGCTTCTGCGCCTGCACTGCCTGTCTCTGTTGCTGCTGGTGGTGGTGGTGCTGCTGCTGTTGGTGCAGATGCTGCTGCTGGCGCGGCGCGGCTCTGCGACTGGGCTCGACGCGCGCGTCGCGAGCGTCTGACGCGGCGGGCGGCGTCGGGCAGGTGCGCTTCTCTCTCGGGTGGTGGTGGTGCTGCTGCTGCTACCTCACAGCACTGGATGTGCGGTTAATGACTGCACTCCAAGTGCTCCAAGTGCGGAGAGGGAGGAGAGAGAGAGAGGAGAACTGGGACCTGTCGTGTGGGTGAACCCTGCCCAGCCCCCCTCCGTGTCGCGATGCGCTCCCCGCTCCCGTTCCCCTGTGTCCCTGATCGTCCTTCGAATCGTCCTTACATACAAGATCCTGCTCGTGCAGGTGGGGACCCTGTCCTTTCTCCCACCCCTCGTTTGGCGTGCCCGTTTTATTTATTTATTTAGAGAGAGGAGAGCCTTTGAGCCTTGGCACCAGCCAGGCAGTTGATTTGGCCTTGGCACCAGCCTTGGCAGTTGAATTGGCCTTGGCACCAGCCTTGGCAGGCGGGCACGCGGGACATGCACAGGCGCCAAGGGGCGCAGAACCGACCTAACCCGTCGGAGGTGGGGGGAAGGGAGTCCCGCCGGGTTCCCCTGCGTGAGCGCAAGAGTAACCCCAAGAGGGCTGAAGATGAGCGGTGCGCGCAGGGGTCGGCGTGGACGGGGCGAGGAACGCGCCGCGCGGGGCGCCGCCTCGCCGGCCCAAGTGGCGCAGAGCGAGGCGGCGAGAACCGAGCGAGCACGTCCTCGTGAGCCCCGTGGCTCCAACCAGGCCCTTCCTTTTTTTTGAGCTGGTGTGACGCCGCGCGAGCGACGCTCCGAGATCGCCCGAGATAGCGCGGCGCGGCCCCGAGATCGCCCGAGATAGCGCGAGATCGCCCGAGATCGCGCGGCGCGGCCCGAGGCGAGGTGGATGGGTTGGGAGTGAGGGGGCGGAAGTGTTCAGTGCGGTAGGATGGTCAGCTCGGGGCGCGTGAGCCGGACTTGGGAGCCGGACGGAGCACTTGGAGCACTTGGAGCACTTGGAGTGCAGTCATTAACCTCACATCCAGGGCCGGGGAGCTAAGAAGCGCACCCAGCGGGCCGGATGATCGGTATCGGGCTACGGGCTGGAGAGCCCTGACCCCTAGGGGGAGTGCGCGTTCGTAGGGAAAGGGCCGTAAAGTAAACACGGGTCTCCGAGGGTTGGCTCCGCGCTCCGGGTTTCCCCTAGCAGCAGACCGCCCCCTCTACTCGGAGCTATAATGAACACCAGACATGAACACGACACGCATTCTCACACGACGTCACCGCTCAGGGCTCCTTCGCGCGGGGTCCTCATCCTCCCTCCGGAGGAGTCTCCCCTCTCCTCTGGCGCGGCTGGTGGTGGTGCCGGCCGCTGCGCCAGATTTTTTTGTGCTGAGCACAGGGTTGGTTGTGCCGGGCCGCCCCCGCGAGAGAAACTCGTCAGTAAAACTCTCGGGCGGCCCGACTGTCAGACAGGCTGGCACGCAGTGGCAAAAGCCCGCGGCTCGTCGCCAAGGAGTTACGAAGAGTTTTTTAACCCCAGCCACGAGGATTCATAACGCCCAAGCCTCCCTGTCGCCTCTGTTTTTCTTCTTTCCTTAGCACTGGCATTAACACAGAGGCGGACTCCCCCCGCAGCTCGGGATCACACGATTCCCCTCTCACTGGCCCGCGGCGCCCAAGCCTCGATCTTCTTGGGCAGGCCAGCAGCTGGTTCGACAGGTCCTCTCCGTGGCCTAGGCAGCCGTCGTCGCCCTGGCCCCAGGCAAAGACGTCGCCATCGGCGGTGATGACGAGGCTGTGCGCATCTCCCGCCGAGACTGCGATGACGCGCTGCAGGCCTCGACCTTCTTGGGCAGCAGCTTGTCCTGCTCGTCGCCGTGGCCCAACCGACCAGCGCCTCCACCACCCCAGCTCCAGACGGCGCCGTCGGCGGTGAGGGCGAGGTTGTGCGCGGCTCCAGCCGACACAGCGACGACGCGCTGGCCCGCCAACGCCTCGACCTTCTTGGGCAGCAGCTGGCCCTGCTGGTCGCCGTGGCCCAGCCTGCCATTGCCTCCTGCGCCCCAGCTCCAGACGGCGCCGTCGGCGGTGATGGCGAGGCCGTGCGACCATCCAGCCGCGACAGCGAGGACGCGCTTGCCAGCCAAGGCCTCAATCTTTTTTGGCAGCAGCTGGCCCTGCTGCTCATCGCCGTGGCCAAGCCGGCCCCAACCTCCACCGCCCCAGCTCCAGACGGCGCCGTCGGCGGTGATGGCGAGGCTGTGGTTTTCTGCAGCCGACACAGCGACAACGCGCTGCCCCGCCAACGCCTCGACCTGCTTCGGCAGCAGCTGGCCGTGCTGGTCGCCGTGGCCCAACCGGCCCCAGTCTCCATTGCCCCAGCTCCAGACAGCGCCGTCAGCGGTGAGGGCGACACTGTGCGCGAATCCAGCCGACACAACGGCGACGCGCCGCCCTGCGAAGGCCTCGATCTTCTTGGGCAGCAGCTGGAACTGCTGGTCGCCGTGGCCCAGCTTGCCAAAGGCTCCCCAGCCCCAGCTCCAGACACAGCCGTCAGCGGCGAGGGCGAGGGTGTGATGCGCTGCAGCCGACACGCTCACGGCGCGCTCGCCGCCCAGAAGAGGAGAAGGGAGGCGGGTCATGTGTTGAGCCGCGTCACGCCCTCGCCGTGCCCGAGCAACCCGGGATTATAAGACGGCGCCGTGCCGCACGACGAGAGCCGCCCCTCGCCGTCGATGAAGAGGCTGTGAGACTGGCCTGGCGCCACCCTCGCCGGCGGGCTGGCCTCGCACAGCAGCGCCGAATAGCACAGCCACCGCACGGCACAGCCCTCGCCCTCCGGCAGCGCCGGAAGCTCGAAGCCGCGCTCTTGCGCCCACAAGCGGATGGCCTCTACCGCAAGCGAGGCGTGAAAGAGCAGCGAGACGGCCGCGACGCGAGCGATGTCGGCGGGGCTGTGGCAGCGAGAGAGGGCGCGCACGAGGAGCTCCGAGGGGAGGTCGAGGAGGCGGGCGGGCGGCGGCGTCTCTGGCGAGGGAGCGGCTGTGGCGGCGGCGGTGGCGAGGCGGCGCGAGCAGCGGCGCGACGGGGTGGACATCGCGAGAAAAAGACTTTTACGAGCGCCTCCCTCGCACAACACTGGGCACGGGACTGGCGCGCACTGGCACTAACACAGGTACACCACGGGAGCCGCCTAAGCGACTCCTGCGAGGGTGGCGAGGCACTTAGTTTCAGCCGCGGCCCCGCCACCGTCTCGTCTTCTCTGTCCGATTCCGTCGCCATCACCGACGGCGATCCCGTGCCCGACTCCCCGGGCGAGGACGGCGGTCTTGGATCGTGTCGCCACCCCTCCCCGGGAGGTCGGGCTTTCATTTTCTCTCTGCGTTCTCGCACATGGAGTGCGAGGTATCTCGTCTGTCGCCGTCCCAAACTGTCACTCCCCTCTCTCCCGGCCGGGGTGGGGCGCGCGCGGGGGGCGGCGGGTGTGCGGCGAGTGTGCGGGATGTCTGTGGGGTGTGGGCCCGAGAGCGATATGCCATGTCCGCCTTGCGTTTGTTTCATAACATCGAAGGCTAAGCTCAAAAAGAAAATCTCGGTGGTTGGGGAACTCCTAAGTAGGTAGGTAGGTAGGTCCGAGTGCAGGTAGGTAGGTAGGTAGAAAGGTGAAGAACAGCCAGGCTCGGACTGGACACCAACGCGGTATGGGTGGACGCTGGACAGATGATGACGACACGCACGAGCGACAACACAGACACAAACAGGCTCACAAGACACACAGCCAGCTGGCTGCCACACACCCTGAGTCGGCGTACACATAACTCAGGGCCACATCCTCCCTGTCGCCCCCCCCAGCACTCCACGGTGCCAAGGGCACAAACAAGGGCACAACTCAAACAACAGACGACAGGAAGTGACATGTGAGGCTAGAGCAGCTTGCTCCACCTCTAGCAATCTCACCGGCCTGCGAGGCACGGACGAGACCGTATGTGGGGTCTAGTGAGGTGTCTTTGGACGCTCTCCTCATGGGCTAGCTGCCTGCGGCTAGCCCTTCTCCCACTCACAGGCGATGACAATCCAATGTATGAGTGTATGCAAGCTGAGGCGCGTGTGCTAAATCTAGGCCGCACGTCGTGGCACTATGACGGAGGTAGACGTGCGGCCGCAGCGCGCCCACCACAGTCTCGGTGTAGCGCGCGTGTTAGCAAGAGAGTTGCGGGGAGAGCCATGCCCGACTTTTCGGAGGCGAGCCCCACGCCACGGATGCCAGCCGTGCTTTCGCGGGAGTCGTCTCCCAAGCCGCGTCCCGTCAGCACTGTCCCCGAGTGGTCCCGCCTCGGCGGCACACACTCTCGACCAGGACAGTCCCGCCAACGTGCCATTGCAATAAAAAGAAATGCGGCCATCTGGCGGCGCATCCCTCAGCAGGCGAAAGGGCGCCGCAGGCGAAAGGGCGCCGCAGGCGAAAGGGCGCCGCTGGGAGGCTCCAACCCCCTGGGCGCATCTAGGCGCTGCACATGCCGCCCGCGCTCCCGTTGAGCGGGCCGTCGCTGCACGACATCCTCCCCGCGGACGTGCTCACCCACGTGCTCGCCGCGCTCCCCGAGGCGGACCTGCTCGCCCTCTCGTGCTCTTGCCGCCTCCTCCACCGGCTCGTCGAGGACCCGGCCGTCTGGCGAGCCTCGATGCGCCGGCGGCACGGCCCGGTCATCGAACGCCTCTTCGGCGACGCGCTTCCCGCTCCGCCTGCCGGCCGCTCCTGGAGGGAGCACGCACTCGCGTTCGATACCGAGTGGCTCGCGCTGGCCCGCGCGCCGGCCGAGCCGGGCGGCCAGGGACGGCTTCTTCTACGGATGCGCTCCGAGTGCGCCGCCGCCTGGCCGACGTGGCTTGGCGTCCCCCCGGGCGGCGATCCGCTCTTCACCGTCCGCCTGCCCCTCGTGCGCACCGCGATCCCCGTCTACTCGCTCATCGCCGCGCCAAAGACGTTTGGGGTGTACGACGCGACGTCGTTCGCCGCCAACCACCCCGGCGGCGGCGCGCTGATCCACATGGGCATGGCGTGCGCGGGCGACGACTGCACCGACCTCTTCGACGCCGCCAACCACACCGAGCACGCCCGCTCCATCCTCCGAGCCCTCGTCGTTCCCGGCCTCGAGCAGCTGCCCGAGCCGCCGCCGCTGAAACGGCCGCAGCCGAGCCTGCTGCGCCGCACCGCCGCCAGAGCCGTGGCCGCGCTCCGCGCGATGCCCCACTCCCTCGCCTGCTTCGCCACGAAGCGCCGCGAGGTTGGGTTTGTCAAGGATGAGGCGCTTGCGGCGGCGCGGCGGGCAGCGGCGGCGAGGGCGGTGGCGGCGCGGGCGGTGGCGCGGGCGGTGGCGCGGGCGGCGGCGCGGGGCGCGTGCGCCCTGCGCGGAGAGAGGGCCGCGCCAGACGACTGTGGCGCGGCGTCCTCGTGATAGTCACACACGGGTGACAGCGCACCGAGAGCGCTCCAGAGCGCAGCGATTTTCATTATTGATAGCCCCCGTTGGACCGGCGCGGCGTTGGCACACGTCTGTATCGTCGCGCGCTCCGCCGCCTCTCTCGGTCATTACGTTTTTCTGCTCGGCTGCCAACAAACCGCTCAAGCATATATATGTTTTTTTTGCTCGCGATTCGTCGCAGTGCGCGGGAGAGCAGGGATTCTCGCATGTCCTAGAGGACGACCCTTCACCCAGCGCCTACATGTACTAGAGGCGCTACGTAGGGACCGACGAGACCGTCTGTTGCGGGCATTAAGAAAACAGGATCCCGCGGCACGCCGCTGTTAACACGGATGGGGGTTAGGGTCAGGGGATCTGTATCTGTGCAGACCCCCTACCCCCTACCCCACTGCACACATGCAGGTATAGCGCCTACCCCCTGCCCCGAGTCACCGCGGAGGGCTTGTCCACAAACCTCCTCCGCGACATGTACCCACAGGTCTCCAGATAGCTGTAACGGTAGTACGGTCGGACAGCGTCAGCCGCCACCTCACGCCCCGCCCGCCAAAGGCTATGTCCAGCAAAAGTGGGTGGGTATGGTCACGGGGCCCTCCTACGTTACCCTTACTCCCCAAAACCGTCGAACCCTGATGGCCGTGTCGCGGTTCTCTATTTCACGTTTGTCTCTCTTACCGTGGAGGCGGGAATGGCTGGGGCGTGGTGGGGCCACCCCCTACCCCCCTACCCCTGCGGTGTATGTATGTAGTAAGGTGAAGAACAGTCAGGCTCGGACTGGACACCAACGCGGTATGGGTGGACGCAAGACAGATGATGACGACACGCACGAGCGACACACAGACACAAACAAGCTCACAAGACACACAGCCAGCGGGCTGCCACACATCCTGAGTGGGCGTACACATCACTCAGGCCACCGGTGGCAGAGCCGCCAGTCCGCACCCCCTACCCCCCTTCCCCGCTAGGCTCCGGCCCTACCCCCCCAATGTCTGACCGTGACGCCTGTACAGGTATCGCAGGTGGACTGTGACGCCGGCGCACGCCAGATTTATCAACGCCACGTCCTCGCCGCCAAACAGATGCCGTCGCCCCGCACGTGTAACCGGCACGCGTCGATGGCAGTGGTCGCGCTCTGCTCGGCGGCGGCCTTCTGGGACTTGACGGCGAGTTGGTTTCTCCTATGCCTCGTCAGGGACATGACGAGCGGCGAGCTGCACAATCAGACGATGAAGGCTGCCGACGCGCTCGTGCTGCGGCATTGCGCAGGCAGCGAGTCGGCGGTATCGTTCGACCCCGATGAGAGGCTGCCTTGGGCGCGCGTCGCTCGCGCTGCGTGGAAGTCTGTCCATTCCGAGCTGCTGGCCTGGGAGGCACGGCACATCGCGACTCCGCCGTTCGGCGCCATCGACCCCGCGCAGCAGCTGCTTACGCGGACGCCTGAGTGCTGGCGCACGCTCCTGTTGCAACTGTACGGCCAGCAGACCACCGTGGCGAGCTCGTTCCCGCAGACAATGGCGCTGTTGCGCAACGAGCGCGTCCTGTCGGTCATGTTTTCCATCCTCGAGCCCGGCTGCGGCATCGAGCCCCATAGAGGCGAGAACAAGCTGGTGCTGCGATGGCACCTCGGTATCGAGGTCCCCGCGGCCGACGCGGCCGCGCCGCGCGGCGAGCGACTGGCGCTGCACGTCCGCACACAGCTCCAGGCCGACCAGGACCGGATCCTCTGGCAGAAGAAGTTGGGGCGGCTGCAGCCAACGGGTGAAGCGGAGGGGGGGCAGGAGGAGGGCGAGGGCGTGGGCGAGGGCGAGGGCGAGGGCGAGGGCGAGGGCGAGGGCGAGGGCGAGGGCGAGGGCGAGGGCGAGGGCGAGGAGGTCCGAACAACCTCCTCGCCGTGGCACGAGTTCACGTGGGCCAACGGCTCCGACTTGCTGTTCGACGACACGCACTTCCACCGCGTGGTCAACGAGCGGACTGCGGGCAGGCGCGTCGTCCTCTTTGTGGACGTGGCGCGGGGCGGCTGCTCGCCTCGCTTTGACGCCGCACTGCCGCCTCTGCTGCGTGCCTTGCGCCGCACGTCGCGCGTACGCGAGGCGGTGGACCGCGCCAACAGCCACGCGGTGGGGCTGGCGGCGCAGGAGGAGCGCGCTCCAGCCGCGGTCGTAGCGAGCGCCGGCACCCCATCGGTAGATGAGCGGGATGAGCTGTGATCGGGGTCGGTCTCACGCGAGTCACGTCTTGCTACTTGCAAGCTTGCAAGTTGAGGTCCTCGCGCGCGGCATGGTTTAGCTGGTTTCCTCAAAGCCCTCAAATATACAACTACCATGAAGGGAGCGGTCACGACAAAAGCGGCACAAAAACACGAAATATTCGATTCACGATTCTCCTCCCCGATTCTCGAGATTCACGTTTCACCGTGACACTTTACTGGATATACTGCATCGATCTCGAATAAACACCGAAGCAGCCACTCGCTAGCAAGCTGCGCCGCAGACCCCTGAGCACTTTCTCTCACTTCTGAGGTAAGGTAAGGTAAACTTCTCCACACACACGAGGTGGTGGGGCAAGGGGGGGCAACCCTCGGCCTCGCGTCTCCACGTCTAACGACAGGAGCCCCACGGCATTCAAAGTGCAAGGCCCGTTGCGCGTGGGTGAGCGGTGTGTGTGTGTGTGTGTGTGTGTGTGTGTGTGTGTGTGTGTGTGTGTGTGTGTGTGTGGTGTGTGTGTGTGTGTGTGTGTGTGTGTGTGTGTGTGTGTGTGTGTGTGTGTGTGTGTGTGTGTGTGTGTGTGTCACGTCACTGCATCCTCTGCCGGTTCCTCCCGTCGCCTCTTCTTTGTTCCGAATGTTTTTCAATCCATCCTTCACGAAGCCCTCCCATGTAGCTAGCGTTCTTTGCGAATGTCTCGAAATGGCCAGCAGGCGCTGTCTGCTCGCGGCCTGTGCGGGCCGCTCGTCCTCCTCGCCCTTCTTTCGTCCTCCCGTCCCTCCCCTCCACCATGGCCTCCTCGGCACTTCTTTCTCCATCCGCCTCGCCCTGCCTTTTCGTATCGTGCCGTTCGCCCTCCATTCGGTGACCTCCATGGCTGTCCGTCCCCTTTTGGGTGGCGCTCTCGATACCGTTGCGTCAACCTCGACATCGCTGTCGCCCTCCCCGTCCCCGTCGTCGCCCGTGCCTCGGTTCGCGTCATCAGTAGCGTCTCCGTTGTTCCCTCGTGCTCCGCCGTCGCTCTCTCTGCTCGGGCCGTTCGCGATTTCGCTCCTCCTGCGTGTCGCCCCTCCGTCTCCTCCCCTGCCTTCGTCGTCATCGTCGCTGTCGCGAAAGCCCTCCGGTCCCTCGATTCCCTCGTCTATCCCCTCCGCTGCGTCCTCCCACTTTATATCCTCATCCTCTGTGCGCGTTGTCGTTCCCTCCCCTTCTCCATCGTTGTCGCCTCCGTCGACTGTGGCGCTGCCTCTTCCCTTGCCTCCGTCCTCCTCGTCTCGCCTGCCATCGTCCCGTGTCTCCTCGTCCTCGCCATCGCCTTGGCCGTTGTCTACCTGTTCATCGTGTCCCCTGCTGCCGGTGGCATCGCCGTTGGCTTCCTCTCTCCCCCTTTCCTCCCTTCCCCTCTCGCTGTCTGGTGTTAATGGACCCCCTTCCTCTCCCTCGCCACCGTCACCGTCACCATCCCCGTCGACCGCCCTCCGTCCCCGCTGCCCTTTGTCTCACACTCGTCTCTGCCATGTCCGCCGTCGCCGCCGTCCTGTCTGCTGCGCTCTGTGCTCCGTGGTATAGTCGCTTATTGTTGCTCAGGATTAGCTCTCGCACCAGGACAGCCTCCTGCTCGTTACTTTGGCTTGCCGATATGCATCCAAAGTTCCACGCTAGCTCCTCCTTCGTCACGTCTATCTTTTTGCAGTATCTCGCAAATGCCGTCCGAGCTTGCTGGGGTGTTATTGCGTTCGGATCCGCCTTCGTCCCCGCCTTGTATCCCATCTCCTTGCGGTGGCTCCTGTATGAGTCCCCATATGACCATGTGATTTCTTGGCCTTCCTTGACTTCTTTGGTCGTGGCGCTGCGCTGCGTGTGCCATCTACTGCTTATCCCCACTTGTCGGCGGCGCCTTTGGTTGCGCCGCACGCCCCGCACGTCTTCGCGCAGATGTCCTTGACGATCTCGAGCTCGCACGCTTCGAGGCCGAGCAGCTCGGCGCAGCTCTCCGCGGGCAGCCCGAGCCGCGCTGCCTCCTCCGCGAGGAGCTCGTCCGGCGTGTCGGCGCACTCGAAGCGGTGCTCCTTCGAGAGCGTGTCGGAGAGTGCAGTCGGGGGGGGAGAGCTGGGGGGAGAGGGGGGAGAGGGGGAGAGGGGGGAGAGGGGGGAGAGGGGGGGGGGGGGTCGCACGCACCTCGGCGTCGAGCTTGCGGCGCCGCGCCTCCGAGGCGTAGACGGGGCACTTGTAGCCCGGGTCGGAGCACTTGGCGGGCTCGCACTCGGCAAGGAGGGGCACCGTGCTGTCGCCGACCACGATGCCGTCGATGCGGAGGGTGACGTCGTTCTCGACGTAGCGGTTTGCGGTCACGGGGAGCGCGAGGATGCCCTCACCGTCGGGCATGTCGACCACCCCCTCGCTTTCCCCGTGCTTGATCTCGCGTCGATGGCCTCCTGCACCGCCGCGCACATCACGGAGCCCACTTGCTCACGCCCGGTCTCGCCGTTAGCGTCGAACTCTTGCGAAGCGTGATAGATGTGCTTCGAGGCGAGCGTGCGGAGCGCGTCGCCGTTCGTGCTCACAAGCGACTTGTCCGAGACCTTGGATGCGGGGCGATCGCGGGGCGGCGGTCAAGAAAGGGGAGGGGGGGGCGAGCGAGAATAGGGTGGGCAACCTTCGTGTCCTTGGAGGAAAGGTCAAAAGCCACAAACACCATGCCAACGTTCCCGCCCAACGATATAGGAAGAGGCAAAAAGCCAGAACCAAAACGAAACGCATCAGTTTCGTTTTGTCGCTGCGCAGGTCCGCCGCGTTGCGCAGCACTTGGCGGAGCAGCTGCTCAGCGGGGCCCACAACGCCATTCTTGTCCTTGTCGACACGGATTAATCTCCGCCTGTGCGCGCGTGTGGCGACAGCTCCGAGGCCTCGACGACGAGCATGGGGAATCTTTTCAGCTGTCGTGCCGAGACCGAGAATGAGACCGATACCCCCCCAGACGCCGAGACCACACACTCACCCCCTCCCCCCCACATACAGACACACACACACACACACACACACACACACACACACACACACACACACACACACACACACACACATGCCCTCGCGACACACACCATGCCGCATGCCCGACGAGATGTTTGCGTCCGACGGCGCCGGGGTGTACGCGCGCAAGGTCGATGCGAAGGCCTAGACGTACTAACCCGCGGGCTGAAGCGGTCGCCGCGATCCCGCGAACCGCCTCGGACTACGACGAGGCCACGCCCGCCGGCGCGGCCGCCTTCCACCTCCAGCTGAGCTGCGCGACGCCATTGCCACGCTGCTGGAGCTCCATCCAAAGGGGCTGCGCAGGCGGGAGAGCTCCGAGACCTGTCCTCGAGACCCCGCTCTCCGAGACCGCTCTCCGCGAGAGACACGCCGTCCCCCCGCGGCCGAAGGCCCTTGTGAGATCCGAGACACTTTCCGCCCCCTCCTCCTGGTACGTCCCCCAGACACAGCTTGGCTAGACCCACCTACCTTCGCCCAGCCCACTCCTGACATGGCGCTTTGCATATAATGGCGGAGACACCAGACACACCTCTCCGCTCTCGTCTTAGTGCGAACCTAAACCACACCTAAAAATCAGCTCGCGTGCTACTTTGTGGACTGTGGGGGGGGCAGCGCAGTGCGCGCACACGACCACGCGCGCAGGCGCGCGTACCGGCCAACCACGACCAGGATGTTGTCCTGGGCTCCTGGCCGCTGGCCCCGCGAGCGCCGCGGCCGAGGGCCGAACCGCATTCAGTGCGACGCACGCGCCGCGCCGCTCGAGTCGAGTCGCGGGGAAAGCGGGCGGCTGCATGGCCGCCCTGGCTCGGGCCCGTCTGATACCACACAGCTCGCGCGCGGCGTCCCGCAACCGGCCGCCGCATAAGCCACACGCCACTCTCCTCTCTGTCTCACTCACAGGCTCATAGGTCCTCCTTCCCACCAATCGCAAGCGTGGTCTTCATCCACTTGGCCTCGTCCGACACCTGATCGCCCAGGGCCGCCCGCACCGCCGCCTCGAGAGCCTCCTCCGTCGGCTCGCCCTCCAGCCGGATCACGTCGGCCATCCTCGCGCGAGAAGAGAAGAGCAAGACGCGCGGCACCATCCGCGTCCGCACGTTGAACTCGCTCGCGAAGGCCTTGCAGTCCTGGATGTCGGCACGGCCCCACCGCATGAGGTGGCCGAGCCCAGCGGCGAGGCCGTGCGCCGCCTGCAGCATCGCCTTTGACTTTGCGTCGTCGTCTCGTGTTTTAGAGGTGAAGAGGACGCCCCACACGACAGGGTCTTGGACGACCTCGGCCTCGAACTGAGCGTCGTCCTTGAGCGTGGTGAGGCTGCCGGCGGCGGAGTGGAGCAGGAGCAGGAGCAAGGCAGTAGCGTGCTGCATTATTGGCTGGCTCTGGTTTCGGGTCCCGGTGAGGGTGGAGTTGCTCGGGCGCAATATGGTGTGACGTTGAATAAATAAATAAATAAAACGGGCAAACTCTGAGACGAGATGGGATTTAGGGACATGTGTCCCCGCCCTGCACGATATGTGACGTTGATGCTTGCCGCGCAAAAAGAAATTTGCCACGGGCGGTCGCACAACACGATTCAAGAGAGGCGA